TATTACTCATTTGCTCCCTGGGATTATGAGGTTCACTGCACAAACGCTGAGTCTGCAGCCAGTTCTCTGCATGAAGCAATCACCCGTCTAATCTACGGCTGGAATAACACAATCAGAGGCAGCGCCAAAGCCCCAATTACATAAAGAAGTCGTTATGTGGTGTGTTTTCTTGTCATATAGGCTCATGTCACTGTTTTGGATTGAATTAAAGAATGTGGAATGGAGACACATATTGGTCTCCTGCTTGGACACGCGCTCACCCTAATGCTGTTAGCCCCTGATGACAGATGGAGGACTTAATTCAAGCAAAGCAGTGTGGTGTTTGTCAAGGCAACAGCTGTAATTACACCTGCGTGATGCATGTCAGCTGCTTGCACCCTGCTATTTCACGCTCACACTGGCAATTTTTTTTACAAGTCGCTGTGTAGCCCTCTTAACCTGCATTAGAGGATCATTTTTGAAAAACTACATATGCTGCACTTGGCCAGATTTGATCATCACAACACAGAAGATATCTAAAGATGGGGGACCTCACTTTTTTGTTGTTTGTCTCAACAGAAAGTCCAATTATCTATTCGGTGCTTTGGACTGAGCGCTGATTGGCCGAGAGAGGGTGGTCTGATAAAGTTTATCTAAAGATGTGACAGAAGCCAAAAATACAAGCATGTGAAAAGTAGTGATGATGGTGTTCGTACATTTTTTCAAACGTATGTAAAAAGACAAAAAGTAATAAACAGGAATCAAAAAACATTTGAAAAGGGCCTTAACAAAGAAGACGCTTTTTTAGCTACAAATGGAACCAAGTTAGATGGGTTTTTATTACAAAGTTCCTCTATTTTGACTCGCATGACTCATTTTTGCAAGAATACAAAAGATAACATGTTTTCTATCAGATGCTCTGATTTGATTTTAGACTTTTACAATTCTCTTCTCTCTTTTGGGACAAACAAGTTGGGAAGCCCACCTTTAACTCCCTCCTTTATTTCCCAACTTTTCTTCACAAACAGCAGCTTTAATGGTGTGCTATCATTTATATTTAAATCATGTGTCATTCTACCAAAAAAGTCCAAATTAGAAAATTGTGAAAGCCTGCCATGCGCACTTTAAATGTAATGAAAGATGTTATCCAGCATTTGAGTGTCTGCGGCTCCAAACAGCCCTGACAAACAGCGTCTGCTCCGTGTCAGGTCGGACGAGGTAATAACATGTCATTATAGCTCAGATGAAAGTCAAAAGGACCAGCTTTCAATATATCACGCTCTGGAAGAGGAGAAATAACACATGGAACTCACAGGTCACATGGAGGAGTACTGTTTTCATAATGATAGCAATAATGTGACACAGGCTGCATCAGCATTCATTTACAGTATAAACACCTTTTCCCATTTTTTTCAAACACAACAGCCCCAGGATTATTCAAGTGGGGTTTAAAGGAAGCATCATATACAAACTTGCCCAAATACCACAGTTTTCAGACAATATAAGTGAAATGATCTTTCTATGATTTATTCAAAATCTATAGACAGTGCTGTAATGTTTAATTACAAAATTAGATTATAACACGTGCTCACAGCTCAACTTCAGCCTTTCTCTGATGTGACTCATGTTCACCTGGCAAGTTTGACCCAATATGCAAAATGGCTGCCCCTCTTTATCAAGTATCATGAATAAACAATGTGATAAATTAGGCAGAGACCAGATGTGTAAGTTAGCTGTTGAAGTGTGTCTAAGGTAAAAGTATCCATCCATCCATCCATTTTCTTCCCCTTAATCCATTTCTGGGTCGGGGGGGTGGCAGTCAGAGCTGCACCCAGTACACAGAGCACCAGCCCCTCACTGATCCTCCTGCAGGTGGTGAGTCCACAGGAGCTGAGATCTTTCAGTGGGAGCTTCAGGCAAAGTGAGGTTAAGTGTCTTGCCCAAGGACACAACGACAGCAGTCATCAGTGGGAGTCGTGAAGTAGGTCTTGAGGTGGGTTTGAACCCACGACCTTCAGGCCCAAAGGCCAATGCTCTACCGACTGAGCTACTGTCGCCGTGTCTAAGGTAAAAGTACAGAAATTAAATAAGTGACAAAAGTAAGGACAAAGTGACCTACTGTCCCAGGGACACAATCGATGGTGCAGCAGTTCTTGAGGGGAACCGCTGAGGGGCTAACCTCCTGTCCTAAGTGCTCCTTGTAGGTCTTCAGATAACTATGAGTTACTATTGCGCAAGTAAAAAGTATACACTTTATCCAATCCTGTTTCCGGGTTGCAGGGGCAGCAGTTTAAGCAGAGACGCACAGACTTTTCTCTCCACACAGATTTCTTCCAGCTCATCCGGGGGAATGTGGAAGAGTTCCCTGACACCAATTGTGCAAGTTCTCCCACTTAAAAAGACTAGGGAGGCATGGAATTTTCATCATAGGTAAACCTCAACAATGAGAGACAGAATGAGAAAAGAAAATCCAGAAAATACCATTCCTCCATGCAGATCTCTAGGGCAGTGATGTTTTGAGCTTGTCGCTGGGCAACAAGGACTTTTAACTCCCTCCAAAGATTTTCTATGGGGTTGAGATCTGGACACTGGCTAGGCCACTCCAGGACCTTGAAATACTTCTTATAATTTCACTCCTTCATTGCCCGAGCGGTGTGTTTGGGGTCACTGTCATGCTGAAAGACCCTGCCACGTTTCATCTTCAATGACCTTGGTGATGAAAGGAGGTTTTCATTCAAAATCTCACAATACATGGCCCCATTCATGTGTTCCTTTACGCGTATCAGTCCTCCTGGTTCCTTTGCAGAACAACAGCCTCAAAGCATGATGTTTCCACCCCCCTGCTTCACTGTAGGTATGGTTTCTTTGGATGTAACTTTCTTTCTCCTCCAAACACGACGAGTTGAGTTTTTACCAAAAAGTTATATTTTGGTTTAATCTGACCAAATGACATTTTCCCAATCCTCTTCTGGATCATCCAAATGCTCTCTAGCAAACCTCAGAAGGGCCTGGACATGTACTGGCTTAAGCAGGGCACACATCTGGCACTGCAGGATTTGAGTCCCTGGCGGCGTAGTGTGTTACTGAAGGTAGCCTTTGTTGCTTTGGTCCCAGCTGAATGACATGCAGAGGCATGTCATTCACTTGGTCCCCCAGTGTGGTTCTGGGATTTTTGCTCACCATTCTTGTGATCATTTTGACCCCACGGGGTGAGATCTTGCGTGAAGCCCCAGATCAAGGAACATTATCAGTGGTCTTGTATGTCTTCCATTTTCTAATAATTACTCCCACAGTTGATTTCTTCACACAAAGCTGCTTACCTATTGCAGATTCAGTCTTCCCAGCCTGGTGCAGGTCTACAATTGTGTTTCTGGTGTCCTTTAACAGCTCTTTGGTCTTGGCCATAGTGGAGTTTGGAGTGTGACTGTTTGAGGTTCTGGACAGGTGTCTTTCAGACTGATGACGAGTTCAAACAGGTGCCATTAACACAGCTAACGAGTGGAGGACAAAAGAGCCTCTTAACCCTTAAAAGACGATGCCATCGCCAACGATGGTGGCGCACATGTTTTACAAATGATCAATTTACTCGCAAACGGTGAACGCTAGCGACTTACTTTTTTTTATCTCCGTGAAGTACACATTCCAGCCTTTCCGAAACTTCGGTTTGTCTCTGCTACATACGGGGGATAAACTACGTGTGTATGAAAGTCAGTCCCCCAAACGGATCTTCAAGCGGTGCCCCGTGAGCCAGGCACAGCCGCATGTAAAGTTGTTTACACACACAGGGACTCAGACAAAGATTGTCAGAGAGTGAGATGGCTCACTCCTCTGTGTTTACTTGTTGCAGCATAGGCAGCAGCGCTCAGAGGAACCAGAGGAGTTCGCATTATTGAGAATAGACAATAATAAATACAGTAAAATGATATTATGTGTATATAATGTATTTGTATATATAAATTTGATGTTTTATTTATTTTTTTGTCTTAGTTTCTTTGGTTTAACATATTTTACAGTTGTGATACAGAAGCAACCACAGCCTCATAGACAAACTGCTTGAGGAAGGGCATCAGGAGTACAGCGTTTTTGGCTTTTATAGCGGAATTTTGTAAAAAGTATAATAGTTACGGATTCAAATTTTTTCCCCCATTATCCCCAAGACCATAAATAACATTTCTACGCAGTGTAGACAGTTGTTTATAGCATTTCATTGTGTTTTTCAATACATTTTTGTGAAATTGATTTTCCGTTTTGATTTTTTCTTTGTCTTCATGACTCCAAATTTGTTATATAATTGATATGATATATATGATTGATATGATGATATATTCTAAAACCCCAGGTTGCACTGAAAAAAAACAAAGTATACTGCTTGACTCTGCATCAAAAAATGACTCTTTTATGAGCAATTATACACAAAGAAAACCAGGCAAGGAAGGTTCCCCAAAATGACCCTAGACCTTGGAGGGTTAAAGAAGAAGTTACAGGTCTGTGAGAGCCAGAAATCTTTATTTGTGGGTGACCAAATAATTATTTTCCACCATAATTGGCAAATACATTCTTAAAAAATGGGATTTTCTGGGGGGGTATACCTTTGATGAAAATTACAGGCCTTCCTTGGAAGTGCTGATCTTTATCCCTGAAGTTGAAATCAATTTGTAAAAGTGCACTGTGCTATAGTTTTGGAGAAGGAAGGGATACAGTATTAGATTATGGTAATTCTGCCTTTCAACCACATTCACAGTGTGTACTATGCTGCAGTAAAGAACATTACATTAACGCATATTCTTACAAATATTTTATTGCATAGATGTTTGACTTCATCAGATACTGTACAAACACATACATCTCTATCAAATGCAACAGTGCAATCACGTAACTCACAGGAACTTCATAAAAGACATCAGCAGATAATACTTAACCAAAAAGTAAATTATTTGTTGACACTTGGACAAAATAAAACCAACAAACACCTAAATAAAGTTCTTATTTCTAGTTAAATCTCTCGTTCTGAACAATAAAACTTAAAACAAACAAAAAATATCAGTACATTTGAAAAGGGACTTTAACATGTATTCTGCCTGGGATTTGTTTGTTGAATCTTCCTCGACTGTGAGCTGCCCATTCCACAGCAGGGCTTTCTGACCATCCCCTTCAAGGAGCAAACCAACAAAAATGAAAAAAAATAAAAATGTAATGTCATTTTGGATTCACACGGCAACAGCTTTTTGTGTGAGTTCAATCTTTAACTTTGTACAATAGTAAATTATTACCCTGTAAAGTATCCTCTGTGTATGTTTGTGTGCATATGTGTGTGTGTGTGTGTACAGAGCGTGCAGACACTCCTGAAGGACTGATCTGAAATGTGATGAATTGATGGATGTGATAGTTGGAAGACCCATTCACATTTCGGGACATTCTGTATACGTTTTGCATCTTAGTGTACAACATTTAAGGCTTCACTGCAAAAAATGCCAAAAAAGATTGATATTGTTTGAATTTTGCCACATTTATCTTGTCTTCAAGCAGGAGTTGTCAGTGGAACAAGTCATGAACAGTTAAGTGCTTGAAAAACAGACTAAAGCTGATTGTTCAATTGCAAAACTATCTTTTAATATGTCAAACTCTACTCAAATGAAGAGAAAACCACTTAATTCAAGACCTTCAAGGTTTTTTCTAGTTGCTCACTGGCATTTCCAAAGTTTTTTTTCAAACATGCACCTGTGAGTTTATTTTACTGCACCAGCAGAGAACAAAAAGTATTTATCCTTTGTCATGAATGGATATGTTTGTGCTCTGGTCATGTTTATGGTTATAAGTAAATCCAAATAAATAAGATAGAATAATGTTGAGCTCAGCTCCAAGGGTCCAGATATTTATGGGCAATAACATTCTTTAGAGAAAAGTATGTAATTTTTAGATAATAATGTGTTGACAGTAGCTCAGTTGGTAGAGCATTGGCCTTTGGGCCTGAAGGTCGTGGGTTCAAGCCCACCATAAGACCTACTTCACGACTCCCACTGATGACTGCTGTCGTTGTGTCCTTGGGCAAGACACTTAACCCTACTTTGCCTAAAGCCCCCGCTGAAAGATCTCAGCTCCTGTGGACTCACCACCTGCAGGAGGATCAGTGAGGGGCTGGTGCTCTGTGAACTGGGTGGCATCTCTGACTGCCACCCCCCCAATCCAGAAATGGATTAAGGGGAAGAAAATGGATGGATGTGTTGACATAGCCAGTGATCTGTGCCATACTACTTGAAAATAGATCAGTAATGTGCAAACTACTGGTTAAATAAATAAAGGTTTATACACATTTGTAGAGGGCTTAAATCTGAGTTTTGTTCAGATAGAACCAGGAGCCAGTTACATCGTTTTCAGAGTTCAGGAAGGAACATAAAAAAGAATATAATTCTACTTAAGAAATTATTTATTGTTCTAAAAAATGAAATGCTGTAGAAAATATGAGAAAGACAACTAGTTCTTTAAAGCTGGGGTAACTAACTTTTTCAGAAATAATTTGTCTCCATAGAAAGTCAGAATGTAAACAATCCAACCACAACATCTTATTGGAAAGCAGGTTATCTTTTGCATACTTGTCAGAAAGAGCCCTGTGAGCCATTTTCTGAATCTTTGGGCTGAGATTTGATTGACTAGGGGAGAGTGGCTCTTCTCTCTTTTTCACTTTTAAGGTCTATAAAAACTGATCTAAAGATGAAAGAGGCCAAAATTACATGCAAGTGGAGGAACAAGATGGATTGCTGTTGGTTTGAAAATTAGGTACCCCAGCTTTAATTGAGGTGCCTTGCGGACCAGGGACTATGTGAATGCACCCTTCCATGCTTCTGTAGTGTCACGTTAGCTGTGGCTGTCTACTTCCTGTACTCTGTGTTGAATCTGTCGTCCAGCTGAACCAGTGCTTGGACTCTCCTCTTCATCCTCACCTTGTCGTCTGGAGTTACTTTTCTCTCTCAAAGTCTCTTCCCGTTTGACTTTTGTGCCACTGCACTTGTCAGAAAGCTGCCCTGACAGTGCGGTTTGGAAGTGGGTGAAGTGCTGCTCCGACAGCCCCAGAGCCAGCAGAGGAAACAGGACTGGACTGGCTCTCAGAGGGGACAGCATGGTCAGACAGCTCAATGACCCGCTACCCTGCACCCTGGGCTGCTTTGAGCTGCTTTTACCCATCTTCTTTCTTTTTCTCCCATTCCCTATCCCATCCATTCCTGCAAAGAAAATACAGTAAATATTGAGTCTTAGAATCTACAACTGTTTCCAATATAAGTAGAGAATAAATATTTCATGGCAATTACACTGTGACAACACTATTATTAAGAGATTCAGGGATGCAGATAACTTTAGTAATCAAGTATTTTAATTGATTTTTACTTTTCATTATTCACATTTCAAATGCTTTGTAGGTCATTATCACTTCACTTCGCTCAACAGTGGTCCACTTTCAGTGTGACCACAGCTGCACGGAGGCAGGCTGAGGAAACGAAGGCTGCCAATCAGCCCCACTGGACCCTCAGACCACCCCCATCATAGATCAGAGATTTCACCGACATTGTCCTTGCTAGTATCTGTGATTAAAAATTCTAATGCTGCTATACTACATTCTCAGCAGTTCAATTCAATTCAAAGATTTTTTTTCGTAGCTAAATCACATTCGCAGTCAACTCGGAGCAATGGCACCAGTACTGACTCTCTCACCATATAAACCATTGTGCATTCTGTTTTCTTCACTGAGATGTCGCCTCAGCTCCAGCGCCTGCTCCACCGACTCACACAGCCCAAACATCTCACACAGTTTATTTAGGAGAACAGCATCTATAGAAGAAACAGCAGAGGTTTGTTTGATACAATACACTGTAAGGCAGAGAAAGACCCAAAGATCCCTCTCACCTTGTAGCTGGAGGTCGTTCTTCAAACCTCGGGCTTCGATCTCTTTTAAAGTCAATAATAATTTTGCCTCGACGCTTGACAGGACATTTCCCATTAATCCAGATTCAGAAACAGATCTCCAGAGCCTCAAAACGCCGTCTGGAAGATTGTAATAATAAAATGTGGAGTGAGGAATCGCCTCTTCTGTCTAAATGCACCTATCTCAAATTATTTAATATTTTTTTCCCAGTAAGCTTTCTGTTAGTACACCGTTTTCAATGTTTACTAAAAGTTAAGAATGTTATTCAAATTTTCAATTGTATTATTTCTAGATGGAGGTGTTTCACTATTCTCAGACTTTTCTTTATCATTTACACATTTTTATCAATTATTTTCTACTTAGAGCTGGAAACCCATATTGAAAAGCTGCGTTGACCCGGGACATCACTACGGGGATGACAGGAACGTGTTAAAATAAAAAGAGTCAAAACAATCTTCTAGTTTTCAATCTACGTCTTCTGAAGCACAAGAGTCAATGCAGTCCTCAAAGACCCAGAGTGGCAGCTGATTTTCATTCCAACCAAGCAGGAGCACATCAGACTCCACTCATTTCATCAAGTGAGTGCAGTCTTAACCTAAAGACTTTATGAAATGAGTGAAGTTTCTGAAACCAGTTGTCGGGAATCGTATTAGAATGGACTACGGCAAGATAGGGTCATGTGGAGCAATACATTTAATGGTGTGGACTTATGTTGTGGGCTTATTGTTCAATTAAATTAATCTACTTCTTGTGTTTTCCTAAATCACAACATAAGTTATCTCAGTGGACTTTACAAATTTGTCAATTCGCCGACACACATCGGAGAGTCAAAAAGTTCTAACACAGGAAATGCAAATACACAAAACATAGAGCCATTGTTCCATAAGGGCCGGATGGTCAACGTCCATGATTGTTGATGTCTGTTCAGTTGTTTGCCTGCCTCACCCTCACGTGTTTCACTGGAGTCTCATTGTGCGCCTCTCCTCTTATTGTCGGTCCATCGTTTTCTCACCAGTTTCTTTGTGGTTAGATTGTTTTAATTTCTGTTATATGCCGGAGTTTTGCTATTATCGAGTTTTGTTCATTAAATCGTATTTTTTGCAGTCCAGCATTTGAGTTATCCATTTTTCCTGCACTCGTGACAATGGACACGGCTTGTCATTATGAAAAGTCTTTGAGTGACTTGTGTTTAGTTTTGACTACTTTGTGAGATGGAACAATCAGAATGTGTTATTTCTGAACCAAAAGGTGCGTTTCCTCAACTTGTTTCTTTTGATTTTTTAAGTATTTCACATTCAAAAACTCAATGGAAATAAAGTTTGGCCAAAATAAACACAAATAATACATCCTATTATTCTTTCAAACACCTGCTAAAAGCTATGTTTGAATTTTTTTTTTTTTCTCACAAAGCTTTTATCTCTTCAATTTTCTTTCTCTTAAATATTGCTCGAAGCGTACCTGGCGACTCACTCCTCTCCCTTTTGGCTGCGTGTCCATTGGTTGCGGTCGATTGTTTTGCTTCTGTTCCAGGACTACACTTTTCCTCGGCTCCCGTTGCATCATTCAAATCTTCTCCTGAGGAAACAGCCAAAGCATTACCTCAGAATGTGCAATAACAGAGTCAAACGTGTCCACGCTGGTTTTCAATTCAGTCCAGGGGGCAATTAAAAGACACAGAGAGAGAATATTAGAATGTTTGCCTTATAGACAAATATGTGCATTCATAAAGACCTGGTGAAGAGCAAAAACGCCTCCAAAACATCTATTCAGAACATGCAGCAGGGCGGCTTCACAGCATGAAGGTTGTAGGTTCAATCCTGTGTCAAGTTAAGTTAAGTTAAGTTTTATTTTTTTCTCGCCAAAGGGAAATTTGTCCTCTGCATTTGACCCGTCCTGTAATACCGCTAGGGCGTCTGTCAGGAGCAGTGGTTGTCACAGTGCAGCGTTAATGCTCGGCTTGGTCAGGACACGGGTAGAACATACAAAAAGACCTTGTTTCGACTGAGATTCGAACCCAGAAGTCCTATCCACTCAGCCGAAATGAAGTATGAAGTTTCCATTCACACACACAGTGATGACAGAGGCGGAGCACCTGGAGAAAACCTAAGCAGACACAGGGAGGGGAACATACAAACCCCACAAAAAAGGCTCCGTCTGGCCCAGGAATGGAGACACACTTATGTTGCTCTGAGGACCTCAGTTTGAGACGCACCTGAGACGCTCAGTGGACTGCGCGGCACCGCAGCTTGAGACGCTCTGCTCGTGGGCGTGTCACACTTAGAGCTGCGACACGTGTTGCTGCACATGGAGCTGTGCTGATAGAAGTCGATCTGCCCAGAGTCCATCATCTTCCTACAACAGAGGCAAGGCTAGAGACTACACTTCTGTAAAGCTGGGGTACCTAGTTCTCAAAGCACAAAAATAAAATCCATGAAACAATTTCCCTCACACTCAAAATACTTTGGTTCTATTACCAGCTTTCAAATGAGTGTATTTGTGGCTCCTGCCACATTTTTAGATCAGATTTTTCAGACCACAGATTTATCAGAGGACCACTCTAATTCAGCAAATCAGTTTTTAAAGGAATAGTTCACCGTTTTTACATACTGACATATGTTCTTACCTTACCTTAGACTAGTTAATACGTACCTGTCTGGTCTTAGTCCGTGCGCTCTGTCATGCAAACGGAGCAAAAACGGGAGCACAAACGCAGCCTCCTCTGGTCACTGTATAGTACCCAAAAGGTAGCTCCCGCTAGAAGCTACCAAACTCTTCCAAGTGTTCCCTATTAAATGTATATAGTTACGTGACGTGTTACACTGCAAAGTATAGTAACACAGAAATGTAACAGTCGATTTTCTCAGCGGATAAAACGGGTACTATATTGTGGGGCGTAGTAATCTGAGGTGCGCTACGTCCGCGCACTAACTTCTCTCCGGAGACTTCTCTCTCGCTCACTTCCGTCAATAGAAGCAGCGTGACTTGTAGTACACACAGTAGCAGCAAGAGAGAAGTCTCCGGAGAGAAGTTAGTGCGCAGAGAAGTTAGGAGCGCTACGTCCGCGCACTAACTTCTCTCCGGAGACTTCTCTCTCGCTGCTACTGTGTGTACTACAAGTCACGCTGCTTCTATTGACGGAAGTGAGCGAGAGAGAAGTCTCCGGAGAGAAGTTAGTGCGCGGACGTAGCGCACCTCAGATTACTACGCCTCACAATATAGTACCCGTTTTATCCGCTGAGAAAATCGACCGTTACATTTCTGTGTTACTATACTTTGCAGTGTAACACGTCACGTAACTATATACATTTAATAGGGAACACTTGGAAGAGTTTGGTAGCTTCTAGCGGGAGCTACCTTTTGGGTACTATACAGTGACCAGAGGAGGCTGCGGTTGTGCTCCCGTTTTTGCTCCGTTTGCATGACAGAGCGCACGGACTAAGACCAGACAGGTACGTATTAACTAGTCTAAGGTAAGGTAAGAACATATGTCAGTATGTAAAAACGGTGAACTATTCCTTTAACGCAGAGCATCAAATAGTGACTGACATGACTCTTTCAAAAGTATGTGATAAATACATGTTTTTTAATAAGTTAAAGACTGCATATTGTGGTCTGTTTGCTCACAACATTTCTCTTGTATCCCAGCTTCATAAACCCAATTAACCATTTTAAAAACACCTTTATCTTCTAAAAGCTCTGCGTTTAAACAAATATTCAGCAGGATTAATCAATAACACAAGTTGACAGCCAAAAAATGGTCAGGGGTTTCTCAACTGATTTAGACTAATTTTGGTGTTCTGAGTCCAAATATCACATGCATTTTGCTCTATCAGGTCAACCTTTTGAGATACAGCCATAGTGTTACGGATTACGTACGTCTACGTTATTATGAATTCTATCAAATTTGATGGAGTAAATAGAAACTGAATGACTTTCGATACGTTGACTTTTATTTCTTGAGGAAAACGGAAAAAACGTCAAGGGTTTCTCAGCTGTTTTTTACACAAAATCGATTTTAAAAAATATTTCTGTAGCAAGAAATCCTGACCTGATTGAGCAAAACCAAGGTCATTTTTGGACCCAGAGCATCAAAATTAGCTGGAAAACTTTGGACTCTTTTCAAAAAATATGTTTTTGTTACCCAGTGTAATTAGACATAAAAGAGTAAAAAAATTACAGTGTTATGAATTATTTAGTTATGAGTTATAAATATATGAAAAACATTCTAATGCAATTTTTGTCTTGAGTTTTTCCAGATGAAATATATTCTGGATCCAAATCCTCTTCACTATGACTGTCCTTTCTACACTTGTATATAAGATATGTTTGATATGTTATAAATGTTTTACAGGGAGCACATGTTCCAAAACTTGTAGCAATTTTCTTCTTAACATCACAAGCTTATTCTAACTTTAAAGTTTTCATTCTTGCTTTGTAAAGAACTTTGTAGGAATATGCTATACACAAACTTCTGTTGCTTTTGATGCATTTTTAAACAGCATTACGGACAATACATACGTAGGTAAAACTCATAAAATTAGTATATTGTTCAACAGTTCATTCATCTCTATAATTAGACAAGCCTTTGTTAGTTTTAATATGACTATTATGAATTTTTGCACAAGGTTAGTTGATACATTACTGATAGAATATTAGTTTTATTGAATAGTAAGTATGTTTACCTGAGCATGACTCCGCCCAGTCGGATGGCTCGTTTCCAGTCCTTCAGAGTGGCCTTCCCCGACACGTGCACAAACTGCTTTGGACTAATGACATCATTCTGAAACTGTCAAACACAACAAACCTCGTAAATACATTGGCAAACTATTGACTTGTATAGATTATCATTTGAACAAAGACACCTCACTTTGACACACGGGACATTGATTCCAGGACAGATGAACTTCTTGATGAGAAGGACCGCACTGCTGTCTCCACACGTGATGGGGTACCCGTACTCCGCCTCTTCAGCCTTTGAGTCATCTGATAAACACAAGACACTGTTCTGTGTGTGTGTTCATCACAGTGGTGCAATGGAACTAAGTCCTAAAGTAAAAGCACAGAACTGAAGGTTAGGTATCTGAGCTATATTAACTGAATAAATGTTTGTTTGATTCATACCATGGATTTATAATAATAAGAATTCATACACATTTACTAAAGATTTGTCTGTGATATATTTTACTTTTCACATTTTTCTACATTTTGATATATGAAGAGTTCATATGCAAAAACAGATTTCCGTTTTGAAATTTGGTTCAAATATTGTATTCTCTGCTGGCAGTAGACTTGAAGGTATTTGCTTAAGAAGGGGTGAAACTTTATTTTTATGGCACCAAAATAAATTTGGCTTTTCACAAAACTACTACTAAAGAGAAAATTGTAAGCTTTTCCGATATGTTTCAATGGCTCTTATCTGTTTTTGCATATAAACTATTCATATTCATACAACTGAACTTACCCTCTCTGGTCTCTATGGCCAAGACTGTAGTGTCAATGTTCACCCTGCGGGGGTCGACATAATCACAGTTATGAAAACAGCAATTAAAGTATTCTGTAATAGTAGCTGTTCCATGGCACACAAATTAACATTCTCTTTACACAGTTTGTTAAAGTCAAACATTCTGAAGCTGTATGATCAGTAATATTATTGAAACTTTAAACCAATGATTTATGACACCTCAAAAGTAGATTAAACTCATGGTGACGCTTTACATGAACTCTCAGAAACAAGTTCCAAGTTCAGATTTTGTACGCACTGATTCCTATTTGATAAAGTTGTCCGTGTGAAAATATGTTTGAAAATATTTATTTCAATCAATAAATCAATTACCATTCATTTGGAGATTGCGTTACATACAAAAAGCTATAGTTCATAAACCAATGACCCAACAGACCCAAGTTCCCTGCACAGCACAGCTCACACACAAGTCAACACAAAGGGCCCAACAAGAAAACATTAACATTAATCTTTTAACGTTCACTCCTTTGACATTGTAGGCCTTTAGCAAATGGTTAAGATGCAATTTGATGGTATAAGTGCATAAAACCAAGTGATCTGCCTCAAAGATGGATATTTCAGTTTCAAGCTTGCTTCAAGTAAATATATTGACTTGAAATGCCATTTACCAAATGGTTGAGGAAACCGTGAAAATCATCAGTAATCACACTGCATTCAAAAGAGTGAAGATACAATGGTTCACAGCTAAACAGAACTTGTTTTTACTTTTTTGGATTTGAAGAACATTGGATGTCAGAGTAGAAGCTTGTCTTACATGTTCAGGAATACTTTAGGTTAGTAAAGTATAAATCTGATTGCAGCTCCATGCATATTGCTCCACATGAATGATGAACTTGCTATAATTCATTATAATGAAATTCCTTCTGGTCCTGGGTGCACTGCGCAGTGACTTTAGAAGACCGATAATGGCAAATACGTTGAATGATTTATTTTGACTTGTTCCTGTTTTCCCTGTGGTGAAAATACATCACAGATCCATACAACACGCCTCAGTTTCCCACTGTTGTCTCGGGCCGACAGAGCATTTGAATCCAGGTCAGACAATATGTGTCGGTGGCAGTTTATACATGACCATGACTTAGTGCAAAGAACGATGCACAAAAGATTTATATTCCTACAATATATCAGGATGAGTATAGAAGGGCAATAGCAGTTATGATACTTGATCCTGACCTGTGTGGGGCTGGCTCCAGAGGCAACGGGACAGAGGATTCTTCTCGTTTCAGCATTGTGAGGCCTGAACTCTGACACAAAACATGGTCCATGGGTCAGAGTATGTTCATGTTAAGATTAAGATCCTTTATTTGTCCCACAGTGGGGATATTTCAGTGTTGTATCACAAGTTAGATGAGCACATGGCACATGATAAATTGATAATAACTCAATACTATAATAAAATAAAAACAAAAATCTCTAACTCTAGCATAAACGCCATGACACACTCCTGCAGCCGCCAAACAGTGTGTATGGGGCAGCATGTAGCAGGATCACAAGTAGGTAATTTAGGCCTTTACACTTAAAAAGAAATAAATATTGCATTATTAATTTAGCCCAAAGTAGCAGAAATGGTAAATGTATCCAAGACACTTTCTATACTTTCTGATTCTGATACAAGGACTGGGTTTCACACAAATGTTTCTTTACATTTTTAAACAATATTTTATTGCAATTATTCCTGTTATTGGTTTTAGTAGCTCTCCATCTCTCATTAAGTTTTAGAGCTCTACCTTTTGTCTGTTCCACACAACATGCATGTGTGGAAAAACTTAATCTTGAAATTCAGAAATGATTCAGGCTAAATCTATCCCAATATTCACTGGTATGTTGTTGTTAAAGTCAGATTTACAGCTGTATGTCAACCATAAAACTCCTACAGGCATATTTTATTACACAGTCATATGTCCACACCTAGAACTAATAAAATACAATAATACTATAGCTTTATGGTCTACAGTGTATCTACAGACACTTTGTGCACAGGTATATACTGCACGTCCTATAGCTGATCAGGACGTGTGCTATTCTCTAACTAGGTCTGTGCAGATTGTGCTGTTTATAGTCCATGCGCGCACTCAGCCGGCTTCAGGAGCGTCGCACGCACATTTTTGGTTTACGCCTCGTGTGAAGCGGAGCCCTGGTTTTAGATCTGCGAAACAAACGCGATAAAGCCAAGACTGGACTTACCATGTTCAGCCATGGGCAGATCCACTATCACAAGTGTAGAGCATGCGCTACGTCCCCTCCGCACTTCCTGCGTCTGTCCCCGTGTCACTGAGCTGTTGCCTGAGAAGCGTCTGCCCTGCTGTCACGAGAGCCGCCGTCCGCACGCAATGGCCTAACCGAGCCTGCCCCGGCTACACAGGCCTGGGGATCTCTGCAGTCTGATCACTGCCCACTACTCCCTGATTGAATAATAATAAAGCAGTATTTCTGCTCGTTTGTTGACGCGTATGTATTTTGAGCTACTCTTTTTTTAGGCGCTATTGTTGTTGTTGCGCGCATATAACACGAGATGGCGACATTCAGTTACATTCTGTGCGTTCAACACAACAATCCATCTTGGTGTAGACCAGTGTCTCCCAAAGTGGGGTCCGCGGCCCCCTGGTGGGCCGCGAGGGTACTGCAGGGGGGCCGCGGGAGGTCATAAAAAAAATAAAAAAATAAAATAATTATTTAATGTTAAATTTATAATGTTTTGTTTGTAATATTAAAATATTTGTGTTCATTATTTGACTTGAATAATCCACTGTAATCATTTTTGTATTACAATGTTTGTAGCAGAGGCTATTTCCCCAAAATAAAATAACCAGAAGAGCCTATTCTTAATGTTGTCTTCTTGGTTATTATTTTGGGGGGCCACGCAAACCCGTCAGATTTTTAAGGGGGCCTCGGTGTTACTGAGTTTGGGAATGGCTGGTGTAGACTGTTCAGTCTAAGGTGTTGTGAGAGGACAAATTCCCACAACAATTGTAGAGCGTTTTATGACTCTGGTTTGGGAAAGCACATTAAATTATGATTACTTACTTAAAGTAAGTAAGCTTAATACTTAATTACTTAATACCTAAAATAGAGTAATTTAAGCTTAATATGTCTCCAATAATAATATTGTCCTTTAATTATTCAGCAAAAAATCACTTTTACTTAATTTTCTAAAGTGCATATAAAAGGCCGACAGCGGCTCAGATCATAGTCTCTTTATTGTTGCCTTTGGGCCTGAAGGTCGTGGGTGCGTGCCCACCATGAGTCTTAATTCACAACTCCAACTGATGTCTGCTGCCATTATGTCCTTGGGCAAGACACTTAACCCCACTAAGCCTGTAGCCCCCGCAGAAAGATCAAGGCTCCTTTGGACTCACTCACAGGATCTGTGAGGGGCTGGTGCTCTGTGTACTGGGTGCAGCACTGACTGCCACCCCCCTGACCTAGAAATAGATTAAGGGGAAGAAAATTAATATGTAAACAAATATTTGTGACTAGTTCTTAGCTCTCAGTACAGTTCGGCTCTAGCTCTAGTTTTCCCAGGGCTGACCTCTGTCACATATTAAAGTCAGGTTTTTCAAACAGAAAAGTTAAAAAGAGATAAAGGCAGCATATTGTGGTCTGTTTTTTTCACCAAATAATTCATACTGTTGAGACGAACAACACGTATGTATGAGCTTTAGGTAAGGGCATTATTTGAGTTGAGTGTGCATTTTCACTCTGTTTATGGCTATACAATAGAAAAATTGTAAATGACTATTCTAATTTCGACCTGCTCATAAGAGCTATTATTATTGTTATTGCATACTTATTCCACAAGATGGCGACATTTAGTCATATTCTGTACCTTGCACATAAGCAGAGACGATCCTGAGGTTTTATAATAATGAATATACGTTCCAGTCCATAATCTGTAGTCACTAGTATTCTAACATTCTTAATTACTAACTAACTAAAATAGTATTTATGAATCCTCTCGTAAACGTGAAGAGAAGCAGATCGCCTGATACTTCTGAATCCGCCCCCTGTGAAGTGGCATTCTTGTGTGATTGACATGACAGTTAAACCAATAGCAGCCCACGTGTCCCCTCACCGGCCAATAGGAAAGCCTGTCCCTCTCTGGGCCCTAAACTTTTCCACGGGACGGGCTCCAGTTCGGACTGTTGCACCTTACAGCTCTGGAAACATGTCCGCGGATGCTCTCGACACTTTTATCACCACACTTTGGATTTTTTATATTATTCTGGGATTTTACTCAGCTGGAGTCCGAGGACAAGAAGGTGAAAGAGCGTCACACTTTGCACGTAACTTTTAAAACTACGTCCATGTCTGAATGCTAGGACGACAGAAAGCTCCACAGTGTTTTAATAAATGTGGCTCCTGTTATTATTGTTATAGAACCATGCTCCTACAATATTGCATCTTTAGAGCATTGTACACTTAGGGACAGTTATGTGAGATGTCTGTGTTATAACATGCATGATCTCCTTTAGCCGTCTGGTATGAAGAGTAGGCTTTTTATTGTCTATTACATGTTAAAATATCCACAATACGTTCAGATCAATGTGTTCCAAACTGTAACATGCGAATTGCTAAAGATGGGGTGCCAAACTTTCAAACCACAAAAAAATGAACTATGAAATACTATTCCACATGAAATACTGTCACATCTTTTGATCAGCTTTTTTTCTGACAGAAAAGGGAAAAAGAAGGACCACCCTCACTCAGCTGGCCATCTCTTAGGCCAAAATGTCAGATAGTAACTCACAGGGCTCTTTCTTACACAAAAGATTACGTGTTTTCAAATAAGATGAAGAGTTGTGGTCTGATTTATCCACAACATTTTACTTTTACAAGACTCTTTTTGTTGGGACAAACAACATGTGTTTTTTGTGAGGGGAAACCAGTTCAGTAGCCCAACTATAAGTCTATGTAATCTAATGAGACAGGAATATGTATCAGTAATTGTTGTATTTTATTGCCATGGGGAGAACTTCTGTTATGAGTAAAAGTGTGTGTGTTTTGGACTTGTGGAGACTTGCCAAAAGAGCCTGAACAATGTTACAGGGGACGTGTGGTGCTGTTCAGGCTTCTGCTGGAAAATGATCTTCAGTGTTCTGTAAACACTGGGGATATTTCCTATGTAATAAAAGTTACATAGGTCTGAGTGAGAAGAAGAAGTGAAACGTGTTTGTGGAAGAGGTCTCTGGGAGGTGACAGGACTACGCTGTGTTCTGGGTCACTGTGTGCCATCCCCCCCCCCCCCCCCCCAGACCAGGACCCGAAGCAGGACCAGGACCTTTTTCAATGAGAGCAGATCTACAGCTTGTATTGGTCTGCAAAAATGTCTAAACTCTACACAGACAGACAGGACAATTGAAACATATACTATATTATTAGCTACTGGAATGAAAAGGTCATGTGTTTGTATTACAATATTACTGATATTAAAACATAGCTGAGTTGACAGCACTCATGCTGTCAGACTGAGTTGGCAATCAGAGCTGCCATCCAATTCACAAAGCACCAGTCCCTCACTGATCCTCCTGCAGGTGATGAGTCCATAGGAAGATGGCTGCTTCTTCAACTAACATACGGCCTTGGTATTTCAGCGGGGGCTTCAGGTAAAGTGGGGTTAAGTCATCAACAGCAGTCATCAGTGGGAGCAGATGACATGGGTCGTGGTGGGATTGAACCATTAGGTCCAAAGACCAATGCTCTACCAACTGAGCTACTGTCGCAGTCACAATATGATCACAACAAAATAATAAGCACTGTTTCATTTAGCACTAGTCAGCTTGCGATGTGGATTCATTTGGTCAAATCCAATACAGAAAGGTTCGAACTATGACCCCAGGGAAGAGAACGGCCCTCTGAGCATTTGTGGTCGACCCCAGGTGTTCAGCTCAGGTTGAAATCAGTGATGATGCGTCGTGCATTTTATGAAGAAATTTGAACATTACCTGCTGCCAATACAGACATGCAATTGTATACGTCCCCTGAGAAATTACCAAAACTAATTAATGGCCAATACTTTTGTTTTCAAACTAAGAAAACTGCTTTGACTGTGATGTCATTGTACACAGGACTGAGACAGGAGCTTTTAGACATCTATGTGCGAGAAGTTCCTGATATTAGCGGGGATGGATCTAAAATGTACTGTCTGTGACTGCTATGATTGTCATAACATGTCTCCTTTACCACCTGGGGTATTTATTATGTCCCAACAGAAAAAGTCTTGTTAAATTAATATTTTGTAAAGAAATCAAGAGTTGCTCTTTTTGACGCCCTAAGCGTTGGTTTTGCCGCTGTGGGAATAGTGTGTTTTGACTCATTTCCCCCGGGCCCTAAATATGTGAATTAGTCACTCGTCTCGAGGAGCAAATGTTTGTGAATAGGACAAATAAATGAATCGCTGACGGGAATTCATTACTGATGTGGCATTACAGCGGAAACCCTTCATTTGATCTGGCAGGAGCGGCGGAAGTGCCGATTGTGTTGTTCAGGAGATGGAAACATGCATCACATTTCAAGAAAAATAGAAGAAGCTCAACAATGGATCATAGTCTCTTTATTGTTCCACTCGGGGAAATTGTTTTTATGTTGTTTTATCACTTCTCAACATAGAGAACCAGAGGAACAAACTCAACTTTTTAAGAGAAAAAAATCCAGTTCAATCCAAGTCCAGTCTGAAATGGAGATGCTTTTAATAGCATAGTAAAACTAAAGTGTTTACGAATCAGACCACAATATGCTGTCTTCATCTGGTTAGGAAACTTGTCATCTTCTGCTCACTTGTAAGCCCTGTGAGTCACTATTTGATCCTTGGGCTGAGAGCTGATTGGCTGAGAGATGGTAGTCCTCTTTTTGAGGAGGTCTGAAAAAGCTGATTCAAAGATGTGACCAAAAATGTATGCATGTGAAAACTAGAAACTATGTTAAGTTGAATTTATTTTATTACATGGCTCTATTAATTTTGTTTTGAAAGTTGGGTACCCCATCCATTATTTTTGTCTGATAAAAAGGATAATTATAACGAGACTACTTACTTCGTCATGTAATGTTTTAGAATATGATCATAATATTTTCAGTAGAAAGTTAAACTATATGGTGAAGTCAGCCTGCCCTATCTCTATGCTCCCACCAGAGGGAGGGATTTCATATTTTTACAAATTAAATAATTACCAATTGTAAACACAGACATTTGATTTTAAAGAACCTATTTTTTCACCTGAGAGCTTTTAGATGAGAGGCGTTACATGTGTGGTCCAGAAGTTTCTGATAATAGCGTGAATGAATCTTAAAAACATAGCCCTAAATCACAGCAGTGATATCGGAGGACTTCACCAACAACAGATCGGAGAATCAAACAGGTCGAACACAGGAAATGCAATAATAACAAACACTTTGGAGACATGGGTCCATCGGGAGAGGACCAATGACCACAATGCCCTTTATTTATTGTCCCGGATCATCGCTGTTCGTAGTTCCTTAGAGACAAAGTGAGAAAACTTGGAGCCCCACATTAAGAGAAAGATCCGCTCCCACTGACGGTAAGGCTATAGATCCAGGGCTCAAGCTGTATAACAATGTTAGAACATGGTTAAAAGAGAGAGTCTGTCTCCTTAACATGTGCCCTTGTTTTGCAGGGGATGGCTGTGGTCACACTCTCCTTGGAGCAGAGTCTGGGACCCTGGCCTCTCAGAACTATCCACACACTTATCCCAACAACATTTTCTGTAAGTGGAGGCTGCGTGTGGCTGAAGGACGGACACTGAGGCTGCTGTTCGGGGACTTTGACATCGAGGCCAGTCCCGGCTGCAGCAACGGCTCCCTTGTGGTCATGGATCAAAGCGGGTACACCACTTTAGGTAAGAACGTGTACAGGTGACAGGCTCAGGCAAAATGTTCTTTTGGAGTTTTTAACCACGTTACACTCTTCCCTCGTCAAAAACCGGCGCTAGCATCATCCACACTGACATCCGGAACTTATAATTTAAACACATCCCCCCCTCTCCTTCTGTCTTAGGCCCCGTTTAGACGGAGACGCCGCAAAGCAATAAGCAAAAACAACCAGACTCCTTTTTTGAAGTGCACAGCGTCTACACCACGACGGAAAACAATGTAGTTCTAGCGCCCGTCCAGTATTGGGCAGTGGACAACACAACACACACGACCCCCAGCCCCCCCAGCAGTATATTCACTTCCTCAAGCTAGAGCTTTGCAAGGTTTCGTTTGGATGGACGAAGAAGAATTCTCCTCCGCGGTGCGCTCGAAACATACGTAGCAATAGTTGATCCGCCACCATTGTTGTTTACGTTTGTTCTCGGCTACTGCACATGTCCAAGTGTATGTACAGGGAAGTGGAGATCATAGCTGGCAGAGAATTCGCACCCAACAGTATCTGTTCTGTTCCAGTTTGGAGGCTATTTCTCAAAGCTTGCGTTTTCACCCCCCTGAAACACTGTCTTCATGTAACGAAATGCCAAACCAATACCCAACTCTACTGTTTAACTGTCGTAGCGTCTCCGTCTAAACACCACCTTAATCAGATGTGGCCACACTTTTTTTACTCTGGATTAACAAAACACACATTCACAGTTTTCTCTCCAACACAGTTAGTAGGTCTGATTTGCCAATAAGACAAGCACCTTGTGTGAATGGAAAAATATCTGACCATTGTAAAGCGCTTTGGGTGACCTTGGTCTGTAAAGTGCGCTATACAAATAAACATTACTTACTTACTTCCTTACTAAAGTTGCAGTTCTTACTTCTTTCAAGAGGGAATTTGCAAGTCTTGCAGTTTGTGTTGTATTCTGTTGCTTTATGGTGAAAGGCGCATTTCATTGATTTATTATAGCAAAATGTATTTGCTGGACTTGGATGTGCATCTGTATATAAACCACACTAGGTTAAATAACTAGTTTCTTCCATGTGGGAATTCATTGATCCATTTTGACATTAAACCGGCGTCCTATCACTACTCAAACTTAATAGAGTCAAAATATTAAGTCCATGAACTCTGCCACATTGCTATAGAGGCCACACGGTTCCAAGAAATTGTAAAAAGAAGTGGCTTACTACGGTAATTGTTTCTTAAAAATACATTTTTGCTTGTCTTTGTTAGCAAAACTTGATTGTCTTACATACATCTAACGTAACCTAATACGTTTTTGGGTCATAAGTCTGTCTACATTCTGGTTTATACCTTGTTGGTAGAAGCCCAGTCCAAAATTGGTTCTGGTTTGGCATTTATCCACACAAAAAAGTAGGACGTGGCACAGCGGTTAGAGCTTATGCTTCACAGCAGGAGGGTCCTGGGTTTGATTCTTCCTCCAGTCCTTTCTGTGAGGAGTTTGAAAAATGTACAATAGTGTGAATGAGAGTGTGTTTATGAGTGCGAGTTTAGCACAAGGCTACAATCAAATAAATACAAATAATGTAAAACAATTAGGAATTTTAACTGAATAGATATTGTGTTGGATAAATTTCCCGGTTAATGTTCAAACTGGTGATTTGTTTTACAGTTATCTGGCCATTAAGTGGCCATCCAAAACATTTGGTCCTTGTGGATAATGGCCTCTTTTTCTGATTTTTAACATCCTAGCCATCTCTTACTCCATTAATGTTTAATGTTTACCATATCATTCCCACATGGTAACATTAAATGTCAACATAAATATTCATAAGATCATGTTTAAGGACCAAAAGTGGCAGAAATAATGTGTGATATAGTGCTTCAAGCACACTCTCATCATTCCATTGCATTGACACATAAATAACCGGCCATTTCGCAACAGTCTGCTTTTCTTTCAACCAGGTGTATCATTCGTGTCCCGGGGTTGTGGGGATGTGATGGTGAACACACACCCAAATATTGTTTCAAGGGAAAGTATTGTCTGTTGACTTTGTGAATCTTTCCTTTAACGTTTGATGTGTTTTTCATTCAGGATACATAACATGTGTCTGTATGCTGGATAGTATGATGAAATAAGTCAGAGTACAACATGCGATTGGCCTTTAATTTAACACTTTTGTTTTAAAAGGTGGAAAATGTCATAGTGGTACATCACACTATTACAGGACTGAGACAGAACACAGTTCAAGTTAGAAAACCGCAGCTTTCTCCCCTTGTGGGCAAAAAAATCACCCTTGTATCAGAGATTCAGAAAAGTGCATTTGATGAACAAAGTTAAAAAGTGGAGCAGTGGTGATCCATTCTAAAAGCTACAAAGTGTGATGACAAGTGAAAACCATTATTATTTGTTGTACAGCTGTGAAAAAATGGCTTGTCCTGTTTACTTAAAAAGCCCCCTATGGACAGGTGTTGAAAATTAGCACTTGTGCTATAACACTTTAAACAATGCATCTGGTTCGCCCAATGTTCATTGCTATGTCCATATTAAATAAATAAATAAATGAAATGAAATGAAAACTTCCAGGTCCAGTTTGTGGGAGGCTGGACTTGTCCCAGAGGAATGTGACGCTGAGCAGTAATGAGGTGGTGATAACGTTCATGTCTGGAACTCACCGCTCAGGACGAGGATTTCTGCTTTCCTACGCAACAGACCTGCATCCACGTAAGAACTCTCTATATTTACAGTATCGTGGTGTAAAGGAATGCGAGCTGTGTCTTTAGTGTTTGGAGCTGCTCCGATCCACCTTCCCTCCTCACGATTGTCTTGCTGAAGCTTGTTTGTGCTGAGCGCCTCCTTCTCTGAATGGATCCAGGCCTCAGGCTTTAGTCTGGATATTTTCTCTCGCTCCCCCACTTCATTCAGTCCACCACATGAACTGCCTGCTAACTAGTGCTCCAGACTTAATCAACTACCACAGGGGAAAGCAGGACTGATTAGGGGGGCACTGATACAACTTTTTCATTTCAAATGCCAATCTTCAGGCACCAATCTGAGACTTACCCTCAAATAGTCTTATTACATCAAGTGAGAGACCCAATCAGGATACCGGCTTAACTGATCAAACCAATACCCTAAATGTCCAATAAAAGTACCAATATCTGATACCATATCGACTGTGATGAATAGGTCACCTTTTACCTTATAGGTTTTTATTGGAATTTGAAACTTGAAAGTCTTATCTTTATTGTTTTTCTGGCTGGGACAGTGCATGTTCATGCACTTCTCCAGAGTGTAGCCTTGGGCTAATCCCACAGTCTCACTCACAAACACACACTCACCCTGAGCTATTTGACATGTTTTTAGTGGTAGGAGAAACACAGGGAGAACATGCAAACTAGTTTGGAGTTGGTCTCCCTGGCCCGGGGATTAAACCCAGGACTTACTTGTAGTGAAGCATGACACCACCCTCATTCTTGGGAGGGTTTGGAGGATTTTAAGTAGGGCTAGACAAGCTTGGAAAGAAAAAATATCAATTTTTTTCACCTTATATTGATGCTTATTTTTGAATTATATTTTAATTGAAATTCCAAACATAACCTGGGGTTGTATATTGAATATATTAAGTTATTTGAAGAGTGGTAAAGACTGCTGCTGTCACTGGCTCAGTTCTCTCTCCTCTTCAGCCTCTCAGCCAATGAACAGTGTCTATTTGAAGCCACATATCAACTATTGGGATTGAGCAATAATTTGACCTTTACATTTTTCGTACAAAAGAAACACATTAGTTAGTAGAAGAAACGCTGATAGAAGTAGTAGTAATTTGTCATTCCAAGAAGTCAAAATGTATTTTCCCCCTACTTTTTCTGCTACTCTTTCATGTAATCACAAAGTATAATCTGTTGGCTTACATGTATGAGTAAGAAACCCCATGTGCGTGATCTGTTCTGCAACACTGGACACTTGTTTACGTCTCAGTCTGAGGTCATGGGCCTTACGCAGCGTGGATCACAGTTTCCTGTTTGGCCTGTTGTTTATGAGATCTGTCTGCGTCTGGAGCTCATGGGAGAGCTGTGATCACCGTGTCCTGACCTCCAAACAAAGGGCTTCAGACTGACCACAACCACTGCTCATGTCCCAATATAGCGTAGGGCAGTGACTGGGACGGGGATGAACTCATCTCTCTGTGAGCGTTAGGGATATATGTAGCCATTTCAAATATTACAGTTACGATCATTGCTTGAAAAAACACCTTCAACATTTATTTGTGAATATGTTGTTGTTGTTGTTTCATAAATAATACATGTTTAAGTAAGAAGTAAATGCTGTTTTAAATGGTTCATAAATAGCACGTTGTGTGTGTGTCAAAGTAAGCATTTATTTTGTCCACTAAAAGTAAAATTCCATGAACAAATAAGACCATAACACACTGCCTTTATATTTGTTAGAAAACATGTGATTAAATAGGTGTTTGATATTATGGGATACTAACAAGGACTAAACCAGGTCCTATATTTCCTGGTTCACTATTTGATGCGTTGGGCTTAGATCAGATTGTCCTCTCTTTGTCCCTTTTATTTTTGAAAAGCTGATCCAAAGAGCTACATAGAACCAGGAACAAGTTACATGGATTTTTTGTGGTTTGAAAGTTACGTCCCCCATCCAATAAACTTAAATACTGGATTACATTTTAGTCTTTTTAAATCAGATTTCTAAAAACAAAAAATAAGTTTTATTCAGAAGTCTTTATTATATTGTGTAATCTTATATTATTATATTTCTTTTGTTTTTTGTTTGGTTTTGAAATCTGTTGTTGGCAAATTGACAATTGTGTAAAGTCTTCCGAGATTACTGTTGTCGTGAATAGCCATATAAATAAAATTGAATTGAATTGAAAAACTAGCTAATACTATTCTACAGGCATATGTGCTAGACTGTCAATTAAATAATTATCACGAGTGGATGTGATCAACTTCAAACTTTGTTCTTGATTTGAACACAACAGCTTTGAGACACAAATGAGTTGATTTTCTTCTAAACTTGTAACGATTGTAATTGTCCCGTATTTGTATGTTTTCTCTCCCAGAGCTGGTTTCCTGTTTACAGCGAGGATCCCATTTTAGTCCAGTGCATTTGAGGTAAGTGACAAAGACTGGACACGAGAGTGGACAGAGCTGGATCATAGACGGAAAAATTAAAGAATCTTTATTTGGTCAATGCAAAACACCAAAAATAGATTAAAAAAGAATACGCTGCATCAACAACCAGCATCATCAAAACTTCCCTAACCTCTGGATCTGTACCTTCCCCACTCAAACTAGCTTCCATCACAGCCCTCCTGAAAAAACCCGGTCTTAACCCTGACTACCTGCACAACTTTCAACCCATCTCCAATCTCCCGTTAATGTAAAAAAATCCTGGAACGCGCCATCATTACCCAAATCCACCAACATCTCCACTCCTCCCATCTCTTCGAATCATTCAAAATCCGGATTCTGTTCACAGCACAGAAACAGCACTTCTTAAAGTCACCCTCGACTTCTCCGCTGCATTTGACACAATAGACCATGCCATCCTCATCCACCGTCTGCAATCATTTGGCATTGCCGGCACAGCACTGCTCTGGTTCGCCTCACTTCCCCCGTCACCCACGGTGACCCCCAAGGTTCCGTGCTCGGCCGTGCTCCCACGGTCAGATCATCCGCCATCATGGACTCTATTTCCACTGTTATGCCGACGACACTCAACTTTACATCTCCACCAAAGCCATCACCCCGGTCATCCTCTCCACCATCACTAATTGTATCTCTGACATAATTTGGATTGACAATAACTTTCTTAAAACAAAACTCCTCATCATCGGCCCCAAATCTCTACTGCCCTCTGTCCAGAACTTTACCCTTCTCATTGACAGTCACAATGTCACCCCCTCACCCTCTGTAAGCTTCCCCGTTAAAAATGGCATCCAATACAAGCTTCTTCTCCTCACCTGCAAGTCCCTCGATAACCTGGCCCCGCCCTAACTCACTGAGCTCCTGCAAAACACCAACCCACCCCCCGCCTTTGCTCAACCGACTACAACATTCCCATCACCCGCTAGGCCTTGGGAGACAGAGCCTTTGCCATTGCCGCTGTAACCCTCTGGAACTCACTCCCACTGCCCATTAGTAACTCTCAATACCAAACTTTAAATCAGTACTTCCAACCCATGTTCTAACAAGCTTTTCCGTAAACCCCCCTTTTTTAAATTCCCCCTATAAAGTGTCTTTGAGTGTCCAAAAAAGTGCTATACAAGTTTGATGTTATATTATTATTATTATTATTATTATTATTAACCATTCAAAATAAATCATGTTCAACAGGAGCAAAAATGATACTTATTTAGCCCCCTCCACTTTTTTATGGGGGAAGAAGTGGGCCGAGTGCTGACGTCAGCCATAGTGTTTGCCTTTTCACAGAAGAAGCTAATTAGAGCTACAGACCAGTATGCACTCCTATAAAGGCTCAGATATAGTTCTACTATTTACCATCAGTATTTTTTTCACTCTCTTTTTCATGAATCAATTCCTCATTATGCTCAGAACAACATGCTAAAAGTCTAATTTCCATCATTTCAACATGCACGCTAATATGACCAGACCCCTTCACAAAACAAATAGATAGATCCCCCGCAGGATAAATTCCGGCGTCCAGTAGCAGTAGAAGCACACCCATACATACAAACAAAACAAATAAATATATCATTCCTAAAGTAGCTAACAATAGTAGTAAAATTCAGGTCACAGCAGCAGAGATGGTGAAGCCGCTGGTGATTTTCTCTGCTGCTCTGCATTCTCTGGTCGAGAGTGAAATGCTGAATGCTTTATTAGCATTTAAAAAGAAATACATTAGAAAGTAGAAATAAAAATGTGTTTTTATTGCATTTTTCTTTTGAATATAATTTTTTTTTGGGCATATTTGATTAGTGCTGCCACATAGGAAGTTTCCTCATCATGTATGTCTCCTCTTGTGCTCAGTGGAGCTGCGTACTGTCCGGCCGGCTGTAAAAACATTAGCGGAGACGTGTGGGGCGGCTGGGAGCAGGGCTACAGAGATGTGAGTCCGGAGGTTCATATAATCACAGTATCACTTGTTATTTGTAATATAAGGATGATATGATACAATCTCCTGCTGCAGACCTCGGTGCTGTGCAAAGCTGCGGTTCACGCTGGCCTCACCTCGGACTCTGTGGGAGGAACTGTGACCGTGACCCGAGGGAGGAGTCTCACACTGTATGAATCCACGTTTGCCAATGGAGTCCTGTCAAAAATGTAAATCAGGTCTTATTCTGCAAGCTGCCATTGCAGAAAATAACCTTCTAATTATATTATATTTATTTTTGTCTTTGAATAGGGGATCTTTGTCAGAAAATAAGTTCCTATTCAAACGAGGTAAGCTGATTACATTAGAATGTTGTTGTTTGTGTTTGAAGAAACTTTTTTGCTTAAAGTCTGTAATTTTTCATTAAATTACATTTACTTCTTTGATATGTACAATGAACACAGTGTCCATAATATTCATGTCTATGGTTTTCAAGCCGATTACCCAATCAGAGAGCAGAATGAGGCTCTCATTCAGGTGAAATGAAGGTGATATAGGCTATGTTTTTATTTTTTTTAAACACATAGCCATTCTTTCATTAGTAATCCGGAGCTAAATGTGTCACAGGCAGGAAGATTCAGGTAACATAAATGTGGTTGTAATGAAACACCAAGGTGTTTGGGGAAGAGTTTGTGTGTCCAAAAAAGTGCTATATAAAAAAACAATGCAATATTATAACATTACATAATAATAATTATATATATTATGTTTGTAAGCCAGTGTGAGGCACTAAGATGTCAGAATACTCAACGTTACAAATACTGTGGGGCATAAAAGTATTTAGTCAGCCACCAACTGTGCAAGATCTCCCACTTAGAAAGATGAGGAAGGCCTGTAATTTTCATCATCGGTAAACCTCAACTTTGTACCACACCATCGTGCAAATTAAATTTCGTACATGCAGGGAAATGATAATTGACTAGAGTTTACGGATAGCTAAGGCCAGGCTAACCTCAACTATGGGAGAAAGAATGAGAAAATTTTCACACACTGTTGCTGGTATTTTGGCCCATTCCTCCATGTGGCTAGGCCACACCAGGACCTTGAAATTCTTCTTACAAAGCCACTCCTTCGTTGCCCAGGCGGTGTTTTTGGGATCATTTGATCATTTTGATCAATTGATCAAAAACCCAGCCACGTTTCATCTTCAATGCCCTTGCTGATGGAATCAGGTTTACATTTGTAGAAAAACAGCCCCAAAGCATGATGTTTCCAACCCCATGCTTCACAGTAGGTATGATACAGGTACAGAATTCTTTCTCCTCCGAACACGACGAGGTGAGTTTTTACCAAAAAGTTCTATTTTAGTTTCATCTGATCATATGACATTCTCCCTCTTCTGGATCGTCCAAATGCTCTCTAGCAAACTTCAGACAGGCCTGGACATGTATAAGCTTAAGCAGGGGACACGTCTGGCACTGCAGGATTTGAGTCCCTTGCGGCGTAGTGTGTTACAGATGGTAGCCTTTGTTACTTTCCAGCGCTCTGCACTGTGTGATTTTCTGTTTTTTTTTTTCTCATTCTGTGTCTCATAGTTGAGGTATACCTATGAAGAAAATTAATAGCCTGCCTCATTTTAAGTGGGAGAACTTGCAAAAAATTGGTGGCTGACTAAATACTTTTTTGCACCATTATACTCTCTGCAATTAGCTGACATTTTGTGTAATATGTTACTTTTTATTATATCACATTTTGATAGATGCCATAAATGATTGAAGTTGAAACAACTTTGTTCCACTAGTGCAATTACCCTATTTTCCCGTTCAAATTTGAACTTGTTGCATTTTGGATCCTGAAGAGTACCTGACTTGTAAACCCAACCCACAGCTGTGTTTGTGTTGAGTTGTATCTGTATATATAACACTGTTCAATTGTATACCTGACAAGACTAATAATTTGACTGGCTAATTAACCGGAAAAAAAGAAAAATATGATACTGGTGTATAGATGTTGATTAATATTGGCCCAGTCAATAATTGATCAACCCCTAGACAACTTTATATGGGAGAAATATTGTGTTTCAAGTAGAATGACACAGCATTCTGCCACTAATGTCGCCCCTGATTCCTGCAAAAGATTGTAAATGTTGTCCCTGCTGTTTTTTCCTCTTTTTCACATTTTTTATACCATTGCCTCCTTCCAACTGTCTGTGTTGACAGAGTGCCACAGCGTGTTGCAGCTCTCCGGCTCAAACGCCTCCTCTGTGGACCCCAACCGCCCAGAGCTCAGAAAGTACTGGTCTTTCGCAGGCCCACATTCTCCTCAGGATGTCGTTTCCTGGACGTCTGCCTATAAAGATGCTTCTCCGTGGGTTGAGCTGGAGCTGAGGGACAGGAGCACCATAACCGGTCAGATAGAGTGCTAAAGTCTCTTCTATCATGTGCAATGCTTTGTCTTCACTTAAACAAGCTCTGTTTCTTTTAGACATAGTGACAACAGTTTCAAATGAAGACTATGTGCATTTTTACACTCTGCAGTTGAGCAAAGACAGGAAAACATGGAAGTGGTACAAAGATCCACTGAGCAAAGAGAAGAAGGTTTGTGAAAAACAAGCTGATTAAAACAACATGAGTAAAAAGGAGATACATAGGATTTGCATGATATTTCTCCTTTAAATTCTTCCCTGGACCGTGTGCAGGTGTTCCAGGCCTATGCGGACGGCCACCTGCGGGTTCTGAACAGTGTGGTGCCTTCAGTCGTGGCTCGCTATTTGAGGATCCAGGCGCTCAGCTGGAGGGGCAAGGCATCACTACAGGTGCAGGTGATGGGCTGTCCCGTTTCCAAGGTGACGCCAAGATCTCGGCCAAACGCAGGTGAATGTGTGCTGTGGACTTTTAACATCCATATTATCTGAATATTGGAGTTTGATACAGTATTTCCAACGTTTCTAATGTATTTTTCAGAGTCAACGTCTGTTAAAGTCCTCGACGCCACTGTGCCACCTTTGGTTAACTCCAACTCCACTGATGGGCCGGTTCTCGTGGAAACAAGGCTAAGTGCGTCATTTAACTATTGCTCTTATTTGTACTGCTCATTATAAAAGTAACAGATTACAGCAATATATTACTTTTTTTAAAACTAATTTTATAAGTTGGAAGTTTGTTTTGAGACTTTTACTGACACGTACCTGCGTTCCCCATTGTGAACACGACTCCAAACAATTCTCCAATCACCTGAAATATAAGTTTGTTTTATGAAAAGGCCTCGTGTGACAACAGCTGTGTAGTATTCCCAGAGGACGCTCATCCCAGTACTCATCGCAAATTGACAAAAGTATTGCTTTTTTGGAATGCATTACTATATACAATATGCTTTATAGCACATTTATTATAATTTAATAGTTTAGTCAATAGAACTGCACATCAGTACATCAAATTCAATAAGCAACACGTGTGTGTGTGTGTGTGTGTGTGTGTGTGTGTGTGTGTGTGTGTGTGTGTGTGTGTGTGTGTGTGTGTGTGTGTGTGTGTGTGTGTGTGTGTGTGTGTGTGTGTGTGTGTGTGTGTGTGTGTGTGTGTGTGTGTGTGTGTGTGTGTGTGTGTGTGTGTGTGTGTGTGTGTGTGTATGTATGTATGTATGTATGTATGTATGTATGTATGTATGTATGTATGTATGTATGTATGTATGTATGTATGTATGTATGTATGTATGTATGTATGTATGTATGTATGTATGTATGTTATACATACATACAATGCCATAAAGATATAAAATTTAAATTTTTTGTCATGAATCAACAACAAGTGGGACACAATCGTGAAGTGGAACAACATTTATTGGATAATTTAAACTTTTTTAACAAATAAAAAACTGAAAAGTGGGGCGTGCAATATTATTGGGCCCCTTTACTTTCAGTGCAGCAAACTCACTCCAGAAGTTCAGTGAGGATCTTTGAATTATCCAATGTTGTCCTAAATGACTGATGATGATAAATAGAATGCACCTGTGTGTAAACAAGTCTCCGTATAAATGCACCTGCTCTTTGATAGTCTCAGGGTTCTATTTAAAGCGCAGAGAGAACCATGAAGACAAAGGAACACACCAGGCAGGTCCGAGATACTGTTGTGGAGAAGTTTAAAGCCGGATTTGGATACAAAAAGATTTCCCAAGCTTTAAACATCTCACGGAGCACTGTGCAAGCAATTATATTGAAATGGAAGGAGTATCAGACCACTGCAAATCTTTATGTTTGAAGCCTGAAATGTGGCGAAATGTTGAAAGGTTCAAGGGGGCCGAATACCTTCGCAAGGCACTGTACATACATACATGAGCTGAAACACAAGACGCACTTTGACCTACATGACCTGTACATACTCAAAGAAGTGTAAAATGGTGACGAAATGTATCACATTTAATGTATATTTTCTGTACATGGCCCCAGATCAACCTTTTCTCAACAACAGTTTAATCTGGAGTTACTCTTAATTTACTCTCAGACACGTATACATTTCCACATGAGTTTAGATGAAAGCAAGTAAACAATTCACTTTGTACTGTTTCCAGTGAAAAACAAGTAGGTGGATTGCATCAGTAATCAGTGGTTAGCAGCTACATGTGTCACTGGCAGGAAGATTTTGGCAACAAAAGTGTGATTGTATTTGTAAAGACGTTACTAGACCACTTAGAGTAAATATTACATGCTGTCTCTTTAATCCCTGCGACTTTACTTCCCCACACAGTGCACAAAAACACATTGTAACGTGTTGAATCTGACTTTACAGTTTGGTGCCCTTGACATTCTGTTGTTGGTTAATTCCACACAGCAGTAAACCGCATTCTTTTCCCACATTTGTGCAAATATTGACTGTGTCTCTGCAGGCTCCAGCCAACCTGTGCTGGTGGCCGTGGGAGTGGTGCTGGGGCTGGTCATGTGTGGCAGCTGTCTGTTAGCCGGGGTCTGGTGGAAGCAAAGGTAACATTTCACATGAGAATGAAAAACATTTGCAACGGTCAATCGACTTTAGTCTATAATAATTCTTACCATTAAAAAGTTAGAATTCAAAGCCTTACAAAGTTGTCAAATTGGTGTTTAGGTGAAAAGGCATATTTTGTTTAATAAATAGATAATATATATACGTGAACAGTTACACATTTTTAAGAAAAATATGCTTGAAATTGTACACTATATTTAATCAATCTTATCAATTTACTCTATTTAAGTATGATGTGTTAAATATCACTTTTGCAGTTCTGTTTGGAGTGAAGAATACAGAACAGATGATATGATTGAGTTATATTATATTACTATTATAATATTACATGTCTATTAGTATACATTGCTGTGAAACTAATTTATTGATTTCTCTTTCATTTCAGGAAAAAGGCGTCTCTAATGAAGTACTCCTTACCCCCAAGTATGTCTTTTATAGTATCATGAAGTTTCTCTGTTTAGTCATGTGTCATGATGTGAGTGTTTCTTTCAGTGGAATGTCAGAAGCTTCAGATAAAGGCGCTGCAGTGTCCTCAGTCAGAGTTTATCTCGTATCCACTGGAGCGAAATGTGCACGACGCTCTTCCAAACCCTCCACTGAACGGTGAGTCTTATCCTAACTTATCCCACAGAGTCGGTCACATGGAAGGAATATCTCAGAGTAGAGCCGCTGCTTCTCCATGTTGAGAGCGGCTAACTGAGGTGGCTCCTGGATGCGTTTGGGGCATGTCCCACTGGGAGACCAGAGGGAAGACCCAGGACGGGCTGGAGGGACTATGTCTCTCAGCTGACCTGGGAACCCCTCAGAATTCCCCCGGATGAGCTGGAGGTTGTGTGGGTAAAGAGGGAAATCTGGGTGTCTCTGCTCAGACTGCTGCCCACGCGACCGGGCCCTGGGTAAAGAAGAAGGATTGGGATGGCTAGATGGGCTATAAACTAATCTTATCACAATGTGAACATTTCAATATCAGAGTGATGATTCAAGAAGGCTCTTTTTGGACAATATCCCTTCATTTTTGACAGAAAATAATAGGACGCAATAATGATTATACCACAAAGTTTCATCTTTCTAAAAATGCACCGAAAATGTCAAGGTATGATGGTATCCGGTTTTTGAAAATGTTAACAACATTAAATAATAACAGTGCAAGTTATAAGATTAAATCTGTTTCGTACAAAGTTGTGTCCAGGATGTTCCCAAAGCGCCTGGACTCCCTCCTCCCACGCCTCCCTCCTCCCACGCCTCCCCCCTCTCCAACCCAGCCTTCCCGCTCTCCCAGTGCCGCAGGCTTCAGTGGTCAGTGTGAGCAGCCCTCTCCAGGCCTGACAGCGTTCCCGGCAGGCTGTCCATTCTGCCCGGCTGGGTGAAGGGCTGAGGCGCAGCAGTATAAACATTCCTTTCTTTGGTCCAGGGAGCTCGTCTGAAAGAGCCCCTTTAACAGTACATACTCACAACCCCCCCCTCCTCACCCTCCCTCCCCCACTCGGGACAGCCCCAGTGATAAACAGGACATGGGGTCAGCACAGCAACAATCAAGGCCTGGCATTAAAGAGCTCGTAAAAATAGCTTATGGTCAGGAGCAGGTTGCACGCTTCACTGAAAGGCTTAATGAGCTTTTTTATATCCCTGTTATCTTTGTCCGTGCGGCGATGAAGGACGGTGTTTCTTCTTCACAAACACACTGGCAAGTTTTAGCTCCATCCTCGCTCGTGGGCTATACAGATTGGGATAGCAAGAACTTCGGGTAGAGATGGCCACAAACCATCGATCATAGAATATGTGGACTACCCGAGTGCTGACGTCATCCATCCGTGTTTGACTTATTGTGGAAAAATCTGAGCGAACTCAAACAGACTCCATGAGGATTAGAGCTACCTCAAACAGGCTGCATGGGTGGGAATCTGGAGGAAAATTCGAGGGTAGAAACGAGATAGCAACCAAAGAAGGTCTCCTGCGCTGTCTCCGCTCGGCTATTGGCTAGCCAAATCCAAATTCAGGGCCAGAGGACACCTGATTTATCAGTTGTTAGGGAACTGGATTTACAAAGATATGTTCAAAATATAAACAGCGGGTGAGCATTAAACCACAGATTAAGAGTAAGAGGAGTTTACTTTTCAATGTGAGTTAATTGGAACCAAACTTCACCATGAGCACTTCACAGAGCTAGCGTGTAGCATTGACCATTTCTATATACAACTTTTGGACATGGCATCTGTCTAAAGGCTCCTTTCTCAAACGTCATGTGGATTTGTGTTGTCAGGGACAGAGATGTTCTCTGCCTATTGGCGCCAAATTATTTATGTTGTGCTCTGAGTCAAATGGTTGTGAAGAGGCAGATAAGGAAACCTTTATTCTCCCACAGTGAGGACAAATTGTACGAGCAGAGAGTGTGCAGAAACCAAGAAGTACATCAGTGAAAATCAAAGAAGCTCCAAAATGTTTTGTTTATTGCTCACCACGGGAATGAGTGGTGTGGTGAGCAAAAATAAAACACAGTTTATCACAGCTATTACATTTTTCCCAAGGGCCGAGTGTTGTGCTCTGAGCTGGATAATCACCATTATGAACTTTTAACAGCAAAGTTATCAAACACAATATCTAAACAAGTTAAAATTATTGGTAATAGTTTTGTGGAAACTAAATTCCAAACTAGTGCAAGTTTTGGTCTGTGCTACTACCAACCAGAAATAAACTAGGACTCAGCCAGGCTCAAGAAATTAAATTAAGTCAAAAAAAAATTGAAATTAGTTTTTAAGTTTTAAGACAGACAAACCATACTAATTCAAGATTTGCTAACCAAATTCTCACTTCAAAATAAAAAAATGTTTTACTGGATTGAAAAATCTTTATACTTTTTAAACTACACAATTCAACAATGTACTGCCTAAATTGTTCACTTTTTGCAGTGAACATGGCCTGAGAGCCATATTAGATTGTTCAGGGGCCCTGATTTGGTCTGTTGTATAAGGCCTGGTTCGTCACATTACAGCCTCTGTTGTCTCACTGTGACATCTGCTATTAGAGAGGTCTCCCATCACAGCACTAACCAAACCCTGAACAAACTTTACAATATCACCCGTTAATGTGATTTCTTCTTTTTCTCTTTTTCAGACTATGCAGAACCAGTGAAAGTGGGCTCCACGTTTCGACCCCCGTCAGAACAGGCCTACACCTCTCCTTTCGCCCAGAATCTTTACGACCGCCCGAGCCACATGCCCGAGTACGCCGAGCCTCTCCCTCCAGAGCCAGAGTACGCCACCCCGTTCGGAGATCAGGTCCAGGAATCTTACAAGGCCCCAGTGCCCTGTCCCGGCACCACCCCCACGGCTCACTACGACTGTCCCTCACACCACACCCTGTCCAACGGCTACTGCACGCCGGTCATCCGCACGGTCGGCGACGAGAGCTACGCACAACCCAAGCCCTGTGACGCCCGGCTGCAGAAGCACACGTACGAGCAGCCTTTGTGAAGCGCGGAGAAAGGACTTGATTGAACTGTGGGACAATGAGCTCAAGCCCTGGGCAGCAGCTCAGGGAGAAACAATAGAGCTGATACTGCAGGCACTTTGGACAGAAGCTATGCACTTTTGGACGTCTGCTGCAGAAAATTACACTGAAATCAATAAGTGCTTGAATTATGGAAGATTTCACTTGATTTGAGTATGTTTTGACGGATGTGAAGGGGACATACAGGAGGTAACATTCTGACAATTAGAATATCGCTCAAAAGTCCCATTTACTTCTGTAATTCACCTTACAATGTGAAAATAATATAATATAGATAATATGATACACTTATTACACACAAAGTCTATCAAGCCTTTTTTGTTATAATGTTGATAATTGGCTCACATCTTGTAAACACCCCAAATTAAACTCATCTCAGAAAATTAGAATATTTTTGAAAGCTATAATCAACAACATAACAAACAGAGGCTTGGCATGTCATGTTGCTCGTAATGAGTCTAGATGATATTGGTTTCGTTTTGTAAGTTGAATTGCTGAATTGCAGTTTGAAGAATATTCTAAGTTTCACCTGTATTATGCAAAATGTGTTTTAACCATGTTACGACACCTATTCCTCTTGGACTGGTCTGAACTTGTTTTAACTCCATCCACACTTTTATACAGGAACTTCGGGCAAATTGGTGCAGCACGTCACCCCACTCCTCCTGCCTAAATGCTCCGTTTTCAAACTTGCTACACTACGACGATTCCTCAGACTATGACATGGACATACAGAGCCTTATAAATCCAAACTATTGCCTTCAGAGGATCTCTCCAGTCAAATGTCTTTTTATGTAGATTGTGCCATGTTTGGTGTATTATTTTTCTTTTTCTAAGCAGACTGTAATTTGACTTTTTAATACATGTAATGCAAAAGAAAATGGTCAAGTTAGGGTTTAAAGCTGGGGTACGTGATTCATAGAAATATGTGTGTGCCTTATAGGAGGTTGTGTGAGAAAGAAAAAGTGACGGAAAAACGTCAAACCAATAACAGTTTGGACTTTGGTTGAAAAAAAAACTGGCTGATTAGAGCACAAACGTCAAACCAGGACTCTATTGGTTGGGAATTCTGGCAGGCAAAATTCGACGAGTTTGTAGCAACGACCCATTAGCAACCAAAGGAGTTGCCCTGGGCTGTCCCCGCTTGGCTATTGGCTAGCCAAATCCAAATATCAAATCATGGATATAATTAGAAAACAAATTCTTTTCTGCATACTTAGCCCTGTGAGTCGCTATTTGACACTTTGAGCTGAGAGCTTGTCCTGTCTGAGAAAGCCGACAGTCAGTTAAAAAAAACTTTTTTAGAGAGCTTGGAGCGAGTTAGATGGATTTTATGATTCACTTTCAATAATTTGTTAGGTATCCCAGCTTTAAGGGAAAAAATGGTCCCAAAATGATTATTAATACACACACGTATATTTTTTTAAGATTTGCCAATGGAATAAGCAGCCGTAGTCCTGACTTAATTTTCAGCAGCATCTTTATTTCATTCAATTGAGAGAAATGTAACCTTTGGTAAAACAATACAATTCAAGCCTGTTCCATTGGCAACGTCATTAAGATTTTTTTTTCTCACTTCAAGATAAAAGTTTTTAATTTAAACATTAAATTAATAATTCTTTATAGTGAGGACACGTACAAGCCATTATGAATTATCTCCCCACAGAAGAACAAGGTTTTTTTTATTGATACATCATTTATTATTGTGAACCATTTATTTCCACATGCACTTTTTGTACAAAGACTTTGAACTGATTGTTACTTTCTGATCGCTGTTGTGGTTTCACACAGTGTCACAATATTCTCCACAGCGTGAAACATCAATTCTGAACTGTACATTTTTGTGGAGCATGACAAGTCCAGTTTCGTCCAGTAGATGGCACACTAACATTGTCAATAGTGTTTCTGAAAAAAGGAGTGCAACGCTAAAGCTCATGTTGCTTACAGCGAGACATAGAATTACAAAGAGTATTATATATGGTGATAACATTGCAATACATTTTATAAATACAAACATATTTAACAATATACTCTGAGTCTGTATTTACAGCCAACTGGGAGGCTGCCAGTTCCCAACGTTACAAGTCTGTCTTATCTTCTTGATGTGAAGGTAGTTAGGGGCAGGGCTGGACTGGGACAAAAAAACGGCCCGGGCAATTTTGCCTTCATGGCGGCCCAGGCATGTTTTTTCACGTTTTTTACAGTTTGTTTATACCAGGCGTCTGCAACTCAAAAGGTTCAAAGAGCCAAAAACAATATCTGTCTGGAGCCGCAAAAAAAAAACAGCCTTGTATAAGGCTTATATGAAGGTAACACAGGCTGCAGCTGTATTAGCTACATTAGCTTAATATCTAAATGACAAAGTAAAGGCTACAAATGCATAATAAGCATTCATGATTATCAAATGTGTATTTTCACTGCAGCGTGTCCTGGAGAGAATGACGCACCACGTGACGACTCTGGTTTAACTTTAACTTCCATTTTTTGTCTTTAGCAATTGTAGAAATACAGTAAATAAATCTGCTTTTTGGCTCAGAGTTCACATCACAGGCTGAAGTTTGCTGGAGCTGAATGTCCTTAATGGCCTTTTCTTTCACCGTTTTTGCGAAGGTATTTGAAGTCTGAAAATAGGTGCTATGAATTTGCGATGAATGAATCCTTCACGTGATCACCATGAACGGTGTTTAGCGCATCATTGTTCCTCGTGTTGTAACAAAACTTCTCAATACAAACATGAAGCAGTCCTTCCTCATTGACTGAAAGCAAATGTTCATACTTATTCTTAGTACAGACTTATTATCGACTCTTTCTCCTTTTAGCTTTGGGATCCGTGCGCACACGCCGGTTTGTTTACAGCAGCAGCCGCCTAACGCGGGCCGCTTCACAGGATATGACGCACTACGTTGACAGAAATGTCGAAATTGAATATTACTTACGCACATTTTTGCAGCATTTAAAAACGTTAAGAATGTTTTTCATCCTACAGAAACCACATTCAAACTAGAAATAAAATATAGCCCTCCCACTCCATTTCAGACATTTTTTAAAAGACTCCAGCCGCAGGTTGCCGACCCCTGGTTTATACAGCATGGAAGAAAATACTAGAGGATCAGGATATGTGCAGTTTCAACAATTGAAATACAGTGCAATAGTCTACATTACAAGAGAGTAATAAACCTGTCTCAGAGTGAAGGAGGTGGACACAGACAACACTATTGTTTATTACAGGGATGAGAATTGGTCAAAAAAAGTCTGAAATTCATAATGCCAGCCATTGTCTGTCACTAAATCTGTTTGATTTGTTCACAACATTTTACTACATGGGCTCAAATATTAACTTTTAATGCAATGGAAAATTTAGGTACCTGAGCTTTAATTTAGTCGCTCTTCGAGAGGAGAGGGGAGACGCGGACTGTTTCCTGCAGCGGTGTATTTATTGGGTGCACAGATTACACAAAGAAATGCGTGGTCCTGTGCGCGTTTATGGTCTTGGCTGGGTATATGGTCACGTTGAGGCTACGCGCTCACCGTGTTGTGTTGTGAGCGGATCTCGTGGTTCCCGCGTCCAGCTCAGAGCCGCTGGATGCTTGAACCGCTCATTACAAAGCGGCCGCAGCTGTCTCGGAACACTGCGGCCGCTGAGGTGGCAGAATCCCGTTCGAGTACATACAGCAGTTGGCCGCGGACATGCGCGCCCCCCCTCAAACATTTTTCACAAACATGTTTTTTGTATGAAGCAGACAGACCGGCCCAAATATGGGCATCGGCCCTTCGGGCATTGCCCGGTATGCCCGATGGCCAGTCCAGCCCTGGTTAGGGGTGGGCGTTAAGGGGGTGTGGGTTAAAATGAGGCTCATCAGCATTTTGATTTTATCCTAACTCAAACTATCATTATAAAGCATTATGGCATTTGTAGCACTGTCAGATGTTACTTGAGCAATTCAAATTTTCACAAAGGAAGAAAAAGTGACACATTAGTTTAAAAACACCAAGATGTGTTTCTTCAGCAGATCTTGTCAAAGCGCCTCAAAGCCTCGAGCTGAAATGTTGAATCACCACAATGTCACAATTTTACCCCTGAAATGATCAATACATTTTCTTACACTTCATCCAGGGCCGGGTTCAAAGCAAGAGCTGGTTCTGTGTGACATTGCTTCTCAGTGCGAAGGAAAGAAAAGGTCCTCTCGGTCGATACCCAAGACGTATGCCCATTGGTGAGGGTGCATTGAGGAAGGTAAAGGTTGTGTCTTCTGCATTTGACCCATACTGCAATGCCACTCGGGCCTCTGTCAGGAGCAGTGTGACCCATCTTCAGACATTGCTGCTCTTGTTCAGGACCCGAGTTGAAGGGTTTTACCTATTGCACATCTTTTTAGTGGTAGGGGAAACCTATACAAACACAGGGAAAACACGCAAACTCCACCTACCCCGAGGACTCACGGCCTGTTTGCCTAGAAGCAAAAGTGCTAACCACACATGCCATATTATCGGAGTAGATTGAACCACAATAGAAATTCGATTGTTTTCCATATCGCCCAGCCCTAATTTTGTAAAGGAATAGGAAGCCCATCCATTACTCTCCCAGATCACAAACGGGTAATTCCAGTTTGACCGTCGCAGACATTTTCCCTATTCAACGCTCCATAAATTGTCATGGTACAGACTGGTTTTAGCATGTACCCAACAGTAACACCTTTAAAAATAACATATTAAAGAAATTTTTTCATAAGAGTAAATATTATAAGCAATTAAAGCACATCAAGTGAAGCCGCTTGTCCAAGAGGCTGGGGCTTCAGTATTGCGTGCTCCTTGCTCTCTTCTTCACCTGAACTTCTGTCTGAGAAGTAGTGAACCACACTTTGGTGTCTATTCCTGGAAAGAGCGTCTTTGAAATGCAGCCCACAATCTTCACACGTATAAACCAGTGGAACTCTGTTGGGGTCTGACAGCGCAACACCCACCTCCGGCTTTTTGCCTTTGTCTTCTCTTTGGGCCGAAACATTAGGAGGCATGATAATCTTATTCGGACTTGTATTAGAAGAGTTTTTCTGCAGACTAGGGGAAGGCACCGTTCTCGGCCTGCCCAAGTTCGACCCACGACTGGCCGATCCTTCATCTGGACTTTCGGGGATCAAACCGTGCACTGTCCTGTAGTGGAATCGAACCCCAGATCTGTTGGAGAAGCTTTTATCACATATTTTGCACACAAACGGACGCTCGCCTGTGTGAATTCGCGTGTGGATTTTTAGCGCACCGGACTGTGTGAAGCATTTCCCGCAGTGAGCACACCGGTACGGTTTCTCGCCGGTGTGCGTTCGCTGATGTGCGCGCACTCCGGCCAGGTGCGGAAAACCTCTGCCGCAAAACCCGCAGGAATACGGTCTCTCCCCGGTGTGAATTCTTCGATGTATTTTCAGTGCACCCGACTGGCTGAAACTCTTCCCGCACTCGGGGCAAGAGTAGGGCCTGGCTCCAGTGTGGACGTTCAGATGGATGCGTAGATTGCTGTGCGAGTTAAACGTGCGTCTGCATTCGGTGCAAAGAAACCCGTACGGTTTGTCGGCGTGCTCTGAGCGTTGGTGTTGCAGGAGATGGGACGGCCTCGAGAAAGAAGCTGTGCAGTGCATACAAGGGTGCGCAGTTAGAATCGGGGTCTTACTACTATTGTTTGATTTGGGCTCTTGCGCTTGCCGATGCTGGTGACAGGAATAGCAAGGACAAGCCATTTGAGATGTTTGCGAGTGATTTGGAAAGCCAAAATCTTGAGTTTGAGCAGATGGAGGGCTTCGTTGGCAGCACAAACAGGAAAACATAGACGCATGGGAAAAGGGTGGTCTGGAAATGGGTGCGCCAGGTTCGCCGTCGCTGTCTCTCGGCCTTTCGACCATGATTTGGTCACTGTTTCTGCTACTAGTATCCCCACAATTAGGCTCGGAAGTAGAACTAGATAAACATGAGTTGGCACTGCTGAGGTCTTTTGCGTCTTCTTGTGGTGATGAAGAGAGCCTTGGTTGTATTGTTTGGAACGAGGAAGCAGAGGATGGGCAGTTTGGGCAGGTGCAGGCGTGATGGAGATCTAAAGAAAGGAATAATAGGGTTTCATAAACCATTTGGAATAATTGTAGTCCATCCACATAATTGAACTTAATTGCAGGATGGGTTCTCAAAAATGCGTATAACATTTCACAGTAGCCCAGATAAGTCTCTTAAAATATCAATGTTTGCAAGTTAATTATAATCATACCCTTTTCGAGTATTATTCCTCAAGTTTGAAAAAAATGCTCTATATTTAGAAAAAATCAACACTAACATCTTACCTTACTTGCCTGTAAAAATAACCACATGAACTTAAGACGGGAAAATGAACTATTTTGAACTGACCCAAGTTATTACAGTTCAGTTTAAGTCGGCTTGTTGTGTGTTGGTTTGTAAAGCTGTGTTGGATTTAGTTGATACAAATAAGATGCTTTTCCACACAACTCTGTCATATTGCATTAAATATAATTACATTGTTAGACTTTTTCCACAAAATCCAACATGACCGTGTTATGTGGAAAAGGTTGCTTAGCTTTACTCAGCTTTATTTCTTGTGCTGGAGTACCTAATGGTTTTGGTTTCATAAAAGCATTGTGTTCTTCCCAACAGAGAGAGAGTTAATGAATAAATCTGACAATTGTAACATGCTGTTTTTTATCTTGTTAGAAAATAAAGAGATGTTCGAAAGATAAGGCCAAAAATACATGCATGTGAAAACTTGCATGTGAATGAATCAACCTGTTTTGAGAGTGAAGGAACTAGTTACAGTGATTTATTTTACATTGTATATTTTGTGTGGCTTAAAAGTTAGGTCCTCCAATTTTAAGACAACTATCTACTGGGGACAGAATTGAAGGCAAGGCGGAAGCACCTCCTTCCGTTCATACATGCGAGCCATTTGTATGAATCAAATGAGTGCATCACTGGCTACCCTGGTTCAGTGGGTCCTTTTGAAACCAGTAAGATTTCAAAAGGCTTTAGGACAGACTACAAAGATACCATAGGAATAGTCCGTCACCTCTTGTCTTCTTCTCATTCCCGGGCTCCACACTGGTCTCCGTCTGTGACCCGGTTTTGCAGACTTCAGACCTTGGTTCGAAAAGGACTCCTTTAAACTTCTGCCCCTCTCTCGCCGCTACCCCCCATGTCATGTTCACCACGTCCAGAGGACTTTTGCGGACGTCTAGGGCACTTCCTGCGCTCATGAGCTCACCAATGAACTGATTCATCTCCATCCAAGAGCATCGGCCAAGTCCATGCTGCAAATTAAATAGAAGTAGAAGTAGTTTATTTTCTTTGGCCATTATGAACCTTTAAATCTTAGGTCATATGTTTTTCATAGATCCTTGCAATTGAATTTAAGACCAAAAGGGGTTTAGGCTGAATACTGCCTAACCCCCTTTAGTCCAAAGATTTCACTTAAAACTACGATGGCAACATGTAAGCACAAAACTAAATTGCATGGTAGCCCAGCAGGTGTTTCACAGCAAGAAGTTCCTGGGTTTGATTCCACCTGCAGGCCTTTCTGTGTACAGTAGGTTGTAGGTTTCAGTGTAGGTTTCCTCTGGGTGCTCCAGTTTCCCCTACCATTAAAAACATGTACAATAGGTCTGAATGTAATGAGTGAGAGAACGAATGGTGTTGATCAGAGAGTGGAGAGAATGGAAAAATATATGAACTCTGATCATTATAAAGCGCTTTGAGTGACCTTGGTATGTAAAAGCGCTATATAAACAAATATTACTCACTATATAAATAATTACTTTAACAATAAACAAATTAGTCATGTAACTTTTCTTCTTGTGATCTTCATTCAGGCATCCTATACTTCTCCATTATTAGTTTTGGAGCCCTTAGGTTTTAAAGGTAGACCATGTCATTGATCGACTCCTTCTACCGATAAACGCCTCCATTACTCTTCACCATTGTTTTTTGTAGCAGATCAGTTCCTCTGAGGTCTACATTCTCTGCTTTGAAACATCTCATGTAAGCAGTAAGGAAGCATGGGATTGTGAGCCTTGAACATTGTAACTGTAAACATCAACTAGATCATGCATTCAATATTTAGTCTAACAGAATAATTATTAAGTTATTCTGCACGGCTGATCACTCTAACAGCTTTGTTTTGTAATAAGTTGCTAAGTTATATATTACATTTATAGATGCTCCCCATATTTCCACGCAGTAGCTAAGGTTTGAAAGGATGAAGCAATTGTATAGAGTAGAGTATAATGCATTTTGATTCCCAGACTTATTACACAGTATTGGAAAAAAGTTTATAGAAATTAGTCTTTAGTGCAGCTAGGGCCTTTCTGAGTGGAGTTTGCATGTTCTCCCTGTGTCTGCGTAGGTTTCCTCCGGGTGGTCCAGTTTCCCCTACCACTAAAAATATGTACAATAGGTCTGGCATGTGCCTCCTGTACTGGCACCCCCACTCCCAAAAATCACAATTGTAAACCGCTTTGAGACTCCGATGTGCAGTGAAAAGGCGGTATATAAATAAAGATTACTTACTTACTTACTAATATTGATTCCCAAAAACATGGCTACATGCACCCTTACAATTACCTCTCCATTTTTTTTATCAACATTATGCATTATGTGTTACTTTAGAACGTTAAATAGTTTAATAAGAAGCTAATATATTGATAGTATGAATCAATGGGGAGACATGTACAAAAACCTAAGACATAATTTAATACCATGGATGGAAAGTATGTTAGGGGTGAACCAATCATATCCACATTGAAAAGCGATTGGGAAATTCAAAAAGAAAAACATATTTTTAAAATCTTGAATATTTGCAAATATAATCATTATTTGAATTCAACAATTTCACAGATATTGTCGACAAATGCAAATGATGTGTTTTATATCCTAGAGCCTTCATGTTAAGCCAGGAGAGTTATTGATGTATATTAGTCTGTCCAGACCTGTTTTGATGAGAGGAACTATGTTGTAACGTAATAAAATAACAAAACAGACGACTTTTCACAATGTCCTTTGAGTGGGCGTGTGCGCAGCCGTGCATAGTTACTTACAGCTAGTATTTCAGATGTAATTTCGTGCATTGCGACTGATTCATTAAAATTTGCCTTTACAGAGCAGCGGGTCCCTTTATCACTTGGATAGCATACAATACAAGCTAGGCAGTTAGCTAGCACATTATTTCAGATATTGGCCTCAAATATGAAATTATTGTACTTACAGAGTCGTGCCTGTCTTTGTCCATGTTAGCATCGAACAAGACCCACGTAGTCTCCGTGTGTCAGAAAATATTATTGAACTGAAATCAGTGTAAATATGCGGTGTGTTTGTGGCATGATTTTAATCTGCGTTTATGTTACAGCTCGGCTCCAGATGTTGAAAATGCACTTCCGGATGTATGCAACCACGTGACCTGAGTTTTTAAGTAACGGGGGGCTGAGTGGCTAGAACTCTCGCTTCTCAGCAAGGTCCACGGTTCGAATCCCGGTCAGAGCCTTTCTGAGTGGAGTTTGCATGTTGTCCTCGTGTCTGCTTAGGTTTCCTCTGGGTACTCCGGTTTCCCCTACCACTAAAAATTACCAGTTACTTATGTAACTTAAGTTCTACGAATAGGTGCGTAGTCCCTTAGGACAGTGGTTCCCAAAGTGAGAGGCATCTGGCTGCAGACTCCCCCCCCCCCCTCGCAGACCTCCCTGTTCAGCCCCTGTCACGTGACCTCCTTCAGGAGCCCCTGTCACGTAACCTTTGCCATGAGCTACTGTCACTTCACTCCCTGGGACTTGAAAACGTTTTTCTTCATAAAGTTATAAAGCTTATATTTAACATATTGTATATATTTTGTAACAAACAAAAATAGTGACGTTTGTTCCACAAATTGTGACCAGGTATTATGTATATGAGCGTTTTCATCTGGGCATTTGGGATGCCAAAGAACAATTCTGTTGCCATTTGTTTACAAGAGCGCCACCTACATGTCACCCATAGTATAGAACATGAAAACACGTCGAAAAGACAATATATATGGAGATACCATGGCGAGGCTTTATTATAGTCAAGAGCTGCAACTTCCATTCATCTATATTATTCTCGCAACAGCAATAAGCTAGACCTATAGGTCTACTCACATTTTTGATTTTCCTACCGTTCTGTAACCTGTGATACAATACTGAACATTCCCCGTTTGTGGTGAATAAATTATCTCAATGATAAAGCCGTTCAACTATTTATTATGCATTCACAATAAAACACCCCTTTTATCAACACATTCAACAGAAAAGAAAAGTTGCAAGAGAATTTCCATTAAAAAAAATAAAAAATAAAAAATGTAGCTTATTATTAGCCCTTAAATATTGATTTAGCATTTAATTTGATTCAAAAGGACTACTTGTTAAATTGTGTTAGGAGAATATAATATATTTAAATTACGTTCGTAATTTTGTCCAGTCATTGACAGCGTCAATCAAAATCAAGTTACGCAGCTTACGTCACGCAGCGACAAAGCGTGTCCTGCTGTTGTTTGCTAAAACTAAAGGTGTTTGGAGGCTTCAAACAAATAATACCTGCTTTAATATGAAACGTGGTTAATATCCACAACAGAAAAACCCGAAGGGGGAGAAAAGTCACATGTGAGGTCAGGCTGATGGTGCAAAGAGAGGGAGAGAGGGCAGCGGAGAGAGAGAGGGCAGCGGAGGGAGAGAGGGCAGCGGTAGAACAGCGCGGTAAAGAGGCCCGGCTTCCCGGAGTCAAAGGTAAACAGGTCCGCACATTAAAAGCGGGTGGCTGCTTTATGCTGTTACTTACAGTAACTTTGGAAAGAGAAGCCGCGGGGGATGAACCGCATGAAGTAACAGCAGAAAGCGGCCGCCCGCTTTTGATGTGTGGACCTCTTTACCGCTGACTTCGAAATCCGGGCCACTTTACCGCGGTCAGAGAACAGTGAGGGCGAGCCGCAAGAAATGCGCTCCACTTCTGCTAAGACGGGAGCCCACTAAGCCCATCACTGTGTCGCTATACGTGAGTAAAAATACACAAGCCTCCTTTTTTGGGCTGGACAGTGCAGCTCAGTAGTGGCGTGAGTCTCTGCGTTACTCCGTATCAAGGAAATACATGCTCATTGACGGGAAGGACTGTTGAGGTGGGGGGTCGCGGGGGAGCAGCGCATTTATGATGGGGGTCGCGGGCTAAAAACTTTGGGAACCCCTGCCTTAGGACTTCGCTAGTGGGATATCACGTGACCCCAGGTCACACGCCAGAGAGATCAAATATATATATATATATATACTCCAATCACTAGCGACCCTCCTCTATAAAAGCCCCTGCACAAGTCCGCGCCCCCTCTTGAACTCTGCCAAGTCGGGCTGGCCTGATGGGCTCGTAGCTAAGGGACTACGCACCTATTCCTAGAACTTAAGTTACATAGGTAACTATTAATTCTACGTCATGGTGCTATGTCTCTTAGGACTTTGCTAGTGGGACACAACGCGGAGGCCGTAGGAACATGTACTCCCAGCAGGCCAGCGAAGAGTGATTGGAGCCCCGCCCGAGCAAGACTCTCACACAGTGAGAAGACTCAGGGCAGAAGAAAACCAATTGCGTGTTACGGGGCCGCTCCTCCCAAGGACACCCCCAAGTAACACCGACCGAAAGTCACCCGTAGTCCCAGGACGCCTCTCCCAAGAGCTCCTGACGTGGACTACCTAACTGACCGAGAAAGCACACACACACCGCACCTGCAGGACGCCTCTCCCAAGAGCTCCTGAACCAGGGCGGACAAAACCAAACCGTAGACCCCCTCAGATGAGGAAACTCACGGTTTCAACTCAATCCGCTGCACCAAGCACGGAATGGGCCACCGACCGGTCCGACACATCCAAAAGGTAAGACCGGACGAAAGAGGAGGACGAAGCCCAAGAAGCCGCGTGGCAAACGTCCTCGACCGAAGCCCCCCTGAGGAGGGCCGTAGAGGCCGCCACCCCACGCGTGGAGTGCGACCTGAAACTCACCGGGGGGGCCAGGCCCTGAGCCTGATACGCCAACCGCACAGCCGCGGCGGCCCAGTGCGCCAGCCGCTGAGACAACAGCGGGGCGCCCCTGTTCTTGGGGCCCAGACACACAAACAGCTGATCAACCGACCTGGAAGATGTCATAGCCAGGTAACGCCTAAGCATTCTGACAGGACACAGAAGGTGCCGCCGCTCCTCCTCCGGCGAGGCATGCGGCGGCGGATGGAAAGCCCTAATCCTGATCACTCTCGACCTGAAGGCCGAAGTGATGACCTTAGGGAGAAAAGCCGGATTGGGCCACAACTCCACCAGACCGTCACCCCCTCCAAAGGACAGGCAAGACGCATGGACGGAGAGCACACACAATTCGCCCGCCCTCTTGGCAGACGCCAGCGCCAGTAAGAGAGCAGTCTTAAAAGCCACACACTCGGGACTCGCCTCCGACACCGACTCAAAAGGCGGGCCCGACAGACCCCTGAGGACCACCCTGAGGTCCCAAACCGGGGGCGTTCTTTGAAGCGGGGGCCTCCTCCTGCGGGCCCCCCGCAAAAAGCGTTTGAAATGCCGGACGGCCTTTATTAGAAAAAGTTTTGCCACCCCGGCCTCCTCTACACGGGCAAGTCCTACAGTTTCCTCTTCTCCGCTTCCCTGATGTTAGCTAGCCCAAGCCAGAGGTGCCTGGCCCCGACTTGGGCTGCAGCCATGGTGCGGCCCCCATCCACGGCAAACGCCTGGCTCATGCGCAGGAGAGCCGCGGAGGTGGTCCTCGCCTCTGTCAGGAGGTCTCCGCTGAGAGCCTGGCCAGTGGTGAGCGGCCTATCCAGGGCCCCCGTGGTAAAGGCCATGTTGTTAGCCAGAGCGACGACCTGAGCCGCGTTGGCATAACACCTGTCCAGCATAGCCAAAGACATCCTGTCTCGCTCGGAGGGAAAGAGAGGTCTGGCGCCGGGCCACACGGATGCGGAGGGCAGCAGAGCCATGCGGACTGAGTCCTCGATGTCCGGGACACCACCGGCCCAGGACCAGTCCTGCACGCTGCAATACATACCGTACCCCAGAGCAGGCCTCTTGGCTGCTAGGGGCTTTGGCCACTCACGTGTCGCGTAATGGAGGATCAGGTCCATCCGCGGGCACAACGTGGGTTGTTTTCTCCTCCTCCTTCGAGTGGTGGCGCCCACCGAGGTGAAGTCCTCCACCACCTGGTCTGGCTGCGGTGGTAGAGGAGCATTAGAGAGTAGAGACGGGGCATGTGATCTAGTGGGAACCGGTCCGGCTCCGGGTTTTGCAACACCACCTCGTCCAGGGTGAGGAGAGAGCCGTCCTCCAAAGCTTCTCCAACCTCGCAGTCTCCCCATTCCGCGGGCACGGGAGGAAGGTCGAGTGGGGCCCAGTTGATCTCAGACTCCTCGTCCTGAGGAGTCTGAACGGGGCGCTGTAGCGGCGAAGAACGCGCGCCTGCGTTCGCTCTCCTCTCTGGGGAGAGCGAGACACCGCATGGCCCGAGCCCAGGCACATGAAGCAGCGGGCATGCTGGTCCGTGCGCTGGAGCCTGACCCGACAAGTCGAGCAGCGACGACGTCCGACGCCGGAGGGCGAAGGGGAACTCGGACGAACAAAATAGGTAAAACAATACAAAGAAATGGGGCTGGGAGCAGATGTAACCGGCTGAAGAAGCGTCATCCAAGGAGCCATCTGCACCAGGAGCAGAGAGCCGGCTGCAGCCACAGGGAACGACACAGGACCCAGAGGAGAGAGGGGCCCCAGACCCCACCAGGCCCAGGACTCAGACCCCATAGGACCCAGAGGAGAGAGGAGGCCCCAGACCCCCACCGGATCCAAGAGCCAGACCCCCGAAGCCACAGCAGACCCCAGCTCTCAGTGCAGAGGGCTCCTCCAGAGGAAACACTGGGGACACTAAAACAATACAATAGAAAGTAGAACAATAAAATGTGACAATAAAAAGAAAAATGGCAGCTGCCTAATATTGATAATAACAATAGTAAATGGGTAGATACAATAAATAATTAAAAATAGTAAATAATAAAAATAAATAAAAATATAATGTGTCTAAAAACATAAATAGATGTCCCACTAGCGAAGTCCTAAGGGACGGAGCACCATGACGTAGAACATGTACAATAGGTCTGGCAAGCGCTCCTGTACTGGCGACCCCGCTCCCAGCTCTCTGTGGAGTGAGAAACAAATGCCTAAAAATAACAATTGTAAACCGCTTTGTAACTCTGGTCTGTGAAAGGCAGTATATAAACAAAGATTACTTAATTACTTACTCTGCCACTGTAACTTCCCTTTAATATAGTATTAAGTATACTCCTAAATTTCAAAACAGAGGTAATAATTTTCCATGTATGTGCATTCTGTTTGATAAAACCACACCATCGTACACATTTTTTTTTAATAGGAAAATAATAATTGACTGGAGTTAAGGCCAGGGTAAAAATGCAGAGTAATCAGTATACAGTAAAACCACTATTTTGTACATTTACTGAAGAAAGGGGAACTTATACAAATATTGACATGCATGTTTTAACATTTATATTCATCATGAAGATAGAACAACAGCTTTTGGGTTAATATCTTACAAAGGAATATACCATATAAGAATAAACTATTAAATTAGCACACCGGTTAATAGTTTACAGTGAACATGACAGTTAATGTCAGAGTGACGTGCAGTGATTGGACTGAAAAGTAGAAAACAGAGATGTACTATGAAAGAAGTTCTTCAGGCAGGCACTTTCATCACCAGCGGAGCATCCTGGTAATTTACCAGGTAACAGGCCACATGAAACAGTTTGTTTATGCCTCCACAGATTGATGCTGGAAGAATTTGGCAAAAAAGTTTGTTTTCCTTGACCCTTTGGGCGCATCTTTCGAAATGGATATTGAGGCAAGCAATAGACATTGTGTTTTTTTCAGAGAAGGCAAGACGATGCACTTTGCAGGAGGTGACATGGTCAATCAGAAAACCCTTGTGAACCATTATGACCATCTCCTGCTGAAGAAGACTGGTGATGCCTGACAGTTTGAAGATCTCCCCCTCACTCATGGATCCAGGGAACAAAGATGAGACAAACGTGACAGCCCCGTGGGGGGCCATGCCGACCACTGCCTTGAGTGTGGAGTGAGACTTCGAAAAATTGGATGGGGCCTCGCAGTAGATCTCTATGCAGTGGAGTAGCACTTGAGTGTCGGGGAAAGCCTCAAACACTGGTGGAAGCAGAGCCCTCACATCGTCTTGTGCCATCCACAGAGGTGTGCTTCCCAGCAGCTGATACAGGAGGTGTGTCCAGACAGTGAGGACCCTGTTTACAGCTGCTTGGCTCACACCAAACCTTTTAGAAAGATCGTCAGGGTGAAGGCCAACAGAAAGGTACATAAGGAACATGAAAAGTTCATCAATATGAGGAAGTTTCTGGAAAAAAAAAGAAAAAATGTTTTTACCAAAAAATAATTCTATAAATTTATGAAATGTTGGGGAAAAAAAATCATCAAAACCCATGAAGAATTAATAAATAAACAGCAATCAATATGTCAGTTGTTACTTTTAATTGGTCTGGCTTAAATATATTGTGCAAAATGCTGAAAATCTCTCTGAAGGATGACAAAACATAATCCTAGTTGATATCCTCAAACTCCCAATGGCGTAAATATTAGACTGAATGACTGACGCCGGCGATCAGGATCAATGAACCCATATTTTCACACAAAAAAAACCTTCAGGGGGTGTATTTGTATTATTCTGTCAATAATGTAACTAGATTTATATCAACAAGCAATTCTGTGTGACACAGATTGTAGTTTATCTTCTAGTCGTTTTTTGGTCAGTACATTTACAATATTTTGTAAATGAATTTCAAACGCGTGCAATAATATCCCAACATAGTAAACATAGAATCAATTCATACCGTGGATAAGTTTGCTGCAGAGGTTAGACTGTAGGTTTCCTGGATAAGCCTTGTTTCAGTAGAGTTAATGAATCTCCAAAAATTCTGCAAATGTCGGTACGAAGAAAATCTGTGGATGTAATAAGGTAAGGCAAGTTGATTTAGGACTATACAAAATATGTTATTCAGGGGAGACGGTTGTCTGAAACTGAGGGAGCATTATTGTAACCTCCAGAAATAACACATGGACCAAATGACACAATTTCGGAGGTAATCACACATAGATTCAGGATTTAGAAAATGACTGCTTCTTGACCTTGGCAGAGGTCTGCCATCTAAGAGGATTTGTGTAGTTAATCTAAGTGTAAAACTAACCTGGTAAAAAAGTGGATATCCTCATCTGAGCCAGCGAAGCGCTGAAGATAGAAGTGGCTGTACAGCAGGCTGGCCTTCATCCTCTTGAGCTCAGTCTGTAGCTCTGCAGCAGCCAGTGTTGAGGACTGTCTAACACAGTAGTTATGGTCAGGGGAAGGTCTAGGAGTGGACAAAGTGAAGTTATTCCAATGGCTCAAGACTGGCACAGACTTATTGATCTTTCACAAAGCCGAGTTGAGTCACCTTTAAGAGGTTTTTGATGCTGCTATGGTTGAACTTAACCTTAATTAAGACATTAAGACAGTCTGCAGACGTCAGTGGTTTTCCACTTGATGTTTTAGTTATCTGAACGTCAGAGCAACATTGGCGTCATAGCTAATGCTGATTTGAAATCACATGCAGGCTGCAAAACTTTGTGTCTTTTTACCAAAAATAAAATCAGCTGTAACACAATCCCAGACCTCTGCATCTTTTGTCATTTTCTTCAAGTGGAAGTGGAAGATGCGAGCAATGTCTGAAATGCTGAACATCTAAAGTACAGAAGACTTTTTATGGTTGGTAAAAAGACTATTTCCATACAAACTCGTTTTACTCACAAACCAAGACTGAGGCTAATGGCTACAAAAACAGACACACGTGGGACGGAAGCACTGGAGTGTTTACTGGCTGTGACCACTAAAATACGATTACATTTACATTGTGGGATTCTGCCATTTTGGCATAGCTCGCGAATGTGAGCAAAACCACACTTATCTCTGGAGAGATGAAGTTGTGTTGCTCTGTTAAACCGATGCAGTTTAGAATTAATAAAAATAACGGCTACTACAATTAAACTCACACAGAGGCGGCAAACTTTTAAATATGGAGAAAATGATCGACGGCGTAGATCCTTATTTGAATGGCCCAGGTACATGGTCAAAACTAGGTTTTGGACAAATTCCCTCCACTCACCACTGGCGTCATATTTGCTTACTTCGTCTGTGGCTTATACTCATATTATACATATAAGTTGTTGAACTTGAAGCTCAACTTTCGAGCATTTATGGGCATTTTCAAGGCTAAAAACGGCAACACTCTGCTAACAAGTAGGCTACGTTCAAGTAGGCCAGAAGCTAGCTGTTGCCAAACCATCATTTGTGTTACACTTAGCCTAATATTGTTTCAGATGAAGATATAGTGTGATCATCCTTCGGTTGAGGATAAGTGAGGGGCTGGTGCTCTATGAATTGGGTGGCAGCAGATTACCACCCCCCAGCCCCGACCCAGAAATGGACAAATGGGGAGAAATGGATGAATGGCTTGTGTGAAGTGATCACAAACTTTAGGATCACACTATGAACACATTTAAAAAAAAAAAGTAATTACATACGCGTAAAATTTTTGGATGGGTGTTTTTACAGCCACTCGACGTCGTCTTCTTTTCTTTCTTCCATATCGCCCTGTTCGGGTGGGCTTGATCTCACTGTGACCCAAGTTGAGAGATGGTGCCCAATCAGGAAGTATTCCAGCCATTTCATATAATGGTTTCCCTGGAAACAAAGTTATAGTAACTATTAAGCATCAAAATACAGCTGGGAGTTATCTTAACAACGCTAGTAGCACATACATTTATGGATGTTAGTCTACGGTTAGTGGTTGTGTTTGCTTTAGTCACAGGTCATATAGTGGAAATTACTGGAGCACACTCTCTATGCGTAATGTTCTCAAAGTAATTGTTGTACAAGAAACTGTCACAGCTCAAGCCGTGTTTCTTCGTTAGATCCATCGTTTGACTTCTTCTCCTTTCCTCCCAGAGGGAAATGTGAAACGTAAATTCACCTATCTTCTCTCCTTTAGTGTTGTGAGAGGCGTTGGAGCACCCCGTAACACAGCAAAACAAGCCCATCGCTTTTTATGAAAATCGTTTTCAGCATACAAATAAACAATAAATAAAAACATTAACAATGCCAAAAACTAATTAAAAAGAAGCCGCAATTCCAAAACTTCCGTATTGCCAAGAACCCCAGAATGCACTGCTGCCAAACGTTTTCGGACGCAGCCGTCTCCATGGGTTGCAGCTAACATCACGCAGTGGCTAGAGAGGACGCCCAAATACCAAGAAAAGTTCCGGGAAAGGATTTTTGTCAGTATACTTTTTATCAACACTGTGATAGGGCGACAGTAGCTCAGTTGGTAGAGCATTGGCCTTCAGGTTGTGGGTTCAATTCCCACCTCAACACCTTCTCCACCAACTCCCACTGATGACTGCTGTTGTTGTGTCCTTGGGCAAGACACTTAACCCCACTTTGCCCAAAAGCCCCCGCTTGAAAGATCAAGGCTATGCTCACACTCAGAGAGCAGCCGTCCTCCTGTGGACTCACCACCTGCAGAGGGTCAGTGAGGGGCTGGTGCTATGAGACTTGGGTGGCATCTCTGACTGCCACCCCCCTGACCCAGAAATGGACTAAAGGGTAGAAAATGGATGGATGGATGTGATACAAGCAAACATACAGTGCCTTGCGGGCGGCACGGTGGCTGAGTGGATAGCACTCTCGCCTCTCAACAAGAAGGTCCTGGGTTCGAATCCCGGTTGGACCAGGGCCTTTCTGAGTGGAGTTTGCATGTTCTCCCCGTGTCTGCGTAGGTTTCCTCCGGGTGCTCCGGTTTCCCCTACCACTAAAAATATGTACAATAGGTCTGGCATGTGCCTCCTGTACTGGCAACCCCACTCCCAAAAATAACAATTGTAAACCGCTTTGAGACTCCGATGTGCAGTGAAAAGGCGGTATATATAAATATAGATTACTAAATATAGATTACTTACTTGCGAAAGTATTCGGCCCCCTTGAACCTTTCGCCACATTTCAGGCTTCAAACATAAAGATATAAAAATTGACTTTTTTGTCAAGAATCAACAACAAGTGGGACACAATTGTGAAGTGGAACAAAATTTATTGGATAATTTAAACTTTTTTTACAAATAAAAAACTGAAAAGTGGGGCGTGCAATATTATTCGGCCCCCTTGCGCTAATATTTTGTAGCGCCACCTTTTGCTGCAATTACAGCTGCAAGTCGCTTGGGGTATGTCTATCAGTTTTGCACATCGAGAGACTGGAATTCTTGCCCATTCTTCCTTGCAAAACAGCTGGAGCTCAGTGAGGTTGGATGGAGAGCGTTTGTGAACAGCAGTCTTCAGCTCTTTCCACAGATTCTCGATTGGATTCAGGTCTGGACTTTGACTTGGCCATTCTAACACCTGGATACGTCTATTTGAGCACCATTCCATTGTAGATTTGGCTTTATGTTTTGGATCATTGTCCTGTTGGAAGATAAATCTCCGTCCCAGTCTCAGGTCTTTTGCAGACTCCAACAGGTTTTCTTCCAGAATGGTCCTGTATTTGGCTCCATCCATCTTCCCATCAATTTTAGCCATCTTCCCTGTCCCTGCTGAAGAAAAGCAGGCCCAAACCACGATGCTGCCACCACCATGTTTGACAGTGGGGATGGTGTGTTCAGGGTGATGAGCTGTGTTGCTTTTACGCCAAACATATCGTTTTGCATTGTGGCCAAAAAGTTTGATTTTGGTTTCATCTGACCAGAGCACCTTCTTCCACATGTTTGGTGTGTCTCCCAGGTGGCTTGTGGCAAACTTTAAACGAGACTTTTTATGGATATCTTTGAGAAATGGCTTTCTTCTTGCCACTCTTCCATAAAGGCCAGATTTGTGCAGTGCACGACTGATTGTTGTCCTATGGACAGACTCTCCCACCTCAGCTGTAGTTATCTGCAGTTCATCCAGAGTGATCATGGGCCTCTTGACTGCATCTCTGATCAGTCTTCTTGTTTGAGATGAAAGTTTGGAGGGACGGCCGGGTCTTGGTAGATTTGCAGTGGTCTGATACGCCTTCCATTTCAATATAATTGCTTGCACAGTCCTCCTTGAGATGTTTAAAGCTTGGGAAATTTTTTTGTATCCAAATCCGGCTTTAAACTTCTCCACAACAGTATCTCGGACCTGCCTGGTGTGTTCCTTTGTCTTCATGGTTCTCTCTGCGCTTTAAACAGAACCCTGAGACTATCAAAGAGCAGGTGCATTTATACGGAGACTTGATTACACACAGGTGCATTCTATTTATCATCATCAGTCATTTAGGACAACATTGGATCATTCAAAGATCCTCACTGAACTTCTGGAGTGAGTTTGCTGCACTGAAAGTAAAGGGGCCGAATAATATTGCACGCCCCAGTTTTCAGTTTTTTATTTGTTAAAAAAGTTTAAAATTATCCAATAAATTTTGTTCCACTTCACGATTGTGTCCCACTTGTTGTTGATTGATGACAAATACTTTCGCAATGCACTGTACATGTTGTCCTCCCAGCCATACAGTCAAGCGTTTCCACTAGGGGTGCGTATCTTCTCCTTCTCAATACTTGATCACCAATTCGATACAGTAACTGTTCACTGAGGCCCCCTGCCGATACGATGCAATATGATATACCCCTGTCATACAATTTACTAGGGCTGGGCGATATATTGTGATATAGTTTTCAGCCATAAGTAATTCATATCAGTCGATATATATTGGTTGTTTTTTTGTTTTTTATTAACCAAAATAAATACATTTGGTCGTGTCGGCTAACACACAGTCACAGGGGAGTGAGGCTGAAGGCATATGTTCACAAGCAGTCTCCCCCATAGTTAGTCCTGGTTTAGTCCTGGTTTAATCCTGGTTTAGTCCTGGTTTAGCTCCTGTTGTAGCTGTTTGAGTGTCTTGTGTCCGTGTGACGGCTCCGTGCAGCTCTCCGACAGTCACACATGCTTCCAGAGGAAAAAGTTAATCTCTTGCTTTCGCCGCATGCATCGAGTCTCTGTGTCTGCCTCTAACCCGCCGCACATTCTATCCCGCGCACAAACGTGCATAACTATTGACACAACACTGAAACACGATCTGTAGATCCATGGACGCTACATATGGTACGGTTGTTGTTTATGCATTTGCCAGAATGTTTTGCGGGTTATGCTTGGCTGTGATAGGTCAAGAAGCCCCCTGCCTATATCCCCCAGAATGCCGCATGCCTCTGACTCGGCTTGACCTCCAGTGTTTTCTTTCTGTTTTTTTCTAACGAAGTGAAGTTGAACTATCGAACATTCTATCGACCTTGTTTTCTATTGATATCGAACAGGTGTCTATCGCGATATATATCGTTATTGTTTTATCGCCCAGCCCTACAATTTAGCCCAGTCAACGATACGATTCACTCCTATTCTTGTTACGACGCAGTTAAAAACTATTTGATATGATAAAATATGGGCATACAAAAGGGTTTGTTTGATTAGTAAAATTCATGTCACTATAATTCCAGGCTGTTAACAGTGTAGTTTTGACACTTTCCAAATAGTGTGCAATGCTTTTGACCTCATTCTTAGCTCAGCTTTTCAGCCAATGTAAGTAAGTAATCTTTATTTATATACCGCCTTTCACAGACCAGAGTCACAAAGCGGTTTACAATTGTTATTATTTTTTTTTTGGGCACTTGTCCTCTCACTCCACACAGAGATGGGAGCAGGGTCGCCGAACAGGAGGCGCATGCCAGACCTATTGTACATATTTTTAGTGGTAGGGGAAACCGGAGCACCCGGAGGAAACCTACGCAGACACGGGGAGAACATGCAAACTCCACTCAGAAAGGCCCTGGTCCGACTGGGATTCGAACCCAGGACCTTCTTGCTGAGAGGCGAGAGTACTATCCACTCAGCCACCGTGCCGCCCAGTTTGAGGTAACGTGTGCTGTTGTCTGATTTGTTCACAATCATTTACACAAAAGATAAGTTAGGTCAAAAGCCTCCTTAAAAGTATTGGGTTCTTCTATACCAGACAATATAAGGTTTTGTGATGTCATTATCTTGACATGTTGCAACCATAGACTGTATATATTAACGGACAGAGTCTCTGCAGTTCATAGGAGTTGGCCATGAAAAGTGCTTTCATGGAGCAATCCAAGATGGCCGCGAGTGGTCCCGGCCACAAGAAAATTGTGAAAAAACGCATCTGCGCATGCGTCAGCCAGCGCAGCTCCATTCATTTGAACGAGACTTCAAAAATTCCCCGCGAGTAAACTAGAGTTGACCAAAAAAAATCACCCCCCTCAGCATTGACACACATGTGGAACGGAGCTTTGGGCCAAGAGCCAACCTTTGGTCCATCCTGTAAAGACGTTTTTGAGAGGTCTGCTAACGCTATACGTTAGCATTGGCTAATTCTTCTTCTGGGTCCACCCCCATCGGCCCGGGGTGGTATTGCAAGCATGTCACCAAGCAAGCAGGCCACTTTTGAGCTGGGACCCTCCCCCACTGGTTGCAACGGATACTTCCGTCTTCCTCAAAAGCGTCTCGCAACGTCACACATGACATGCCTTTATCAGCTGCTGTTCCCAGGCATGTGTGGCGTCGCAAGACGCTTCTGAGGAAGACTGAAGTATCAGTCAAAACATGTCAAGATAGCATCACAAAACCTTGTATTGTCTGGTATAG